GGATTTTGGCAAAAAATACTAATCATAATTTGGGATTTGGGATTTGGGATTTTGGCATTTGGGATTTTGGCATTTGGGATTTTGGCATTTGGATTTTGAATTTGGGTGGCAGGTATAGTTAAATAATAAGTCATATGAGATAACTGATCTTGTTGCACAAACAAAAAAAATTAATCTATGAAGAAAATTTTGAAATGATAATCAATGATATGATAAATTTCGAAAAACATTGTTAATAATATAATATCAATTAAAATTGCTGCAATAAATTTTGAAGAATATCATTGACAGTACAATGTCAATTGAAAATTATAGTGATATAAATACAAGTGATGACCATTGAAATGATATATTATGAATATTTAATATAAACAAAGATTATTGATATGAAATTACTACGAAAATAATAATATTTGCAAAATTTCACACATGAAGATATCAAAATCGATAACTTTCAAAGGTTATCGATATGAATTTACTATGAAAACAATAATATTTGCAAAATTTTGCCACATGAAAATATCAAAATCAATAACCTTCAAAGGTTAGCAAAGACCTTTGAAGGCTAACATATCAAAAAACAGCAAAATACTTACATTAACATTAACTTTCGAAGGTTTTCACTAAAAAAATTTCCTGATATACTATACTGAAAAGGAATTCTGATTTTAGTTAATTTATAATATAAGATACATAAGACAGTTGATTTTTATCAATTTTTAATTGATTTATAGTATAGGAATTCTGATTTTAATATAGGAATCACCATTTGGTATAGTGATTCTTTTGTATTTAACTAGTGCATAATTCATAATTCATAATTGCTAATAATATCTTTACCTGGGGATTCATGATTTTCACCTTGAACAGTAATCCAAGATAAGAACACTTTTTTGAAAATGTTGTTTTTCTTAGTTTGCTTAGAAATAACCACTCTTCTGAGAAATACATCACTATATCAATGAAGTAATAATAATTTAAATTGTTACCTTGAAAACCAGAATATTTATTAGAATAGAAATTTGCTTATTACTTTCTTTCTTTTCTTTTTCTTTCTTTTCATTATATAATTAATTAGATATTTATTTATGTGTTTAGATTAGTGTAGGAAAATATATAAGGACCTTTAATTTTCCTTCTTCATGTAATTACCTAAGAAACATGGACAATTAACATGTAATAAACACTAATGATTAATGATAAATAAATAAGTCTTTATTATAAATAAATCACTTTCCTTAATACATTTTTATTAATAAATCTTACTTTCTCACACATTTTATCACATGACAACTTGATAAAACATTTTATTTTCCTTTAAACTTCTTTTATTCTCTAATTATCCTCTAGTGAATCTTTTTATTCTCATACCTTACATCCTTTAGTATTTGTATTTAACATTATCTTTTATTTCTACCCATAGAACCTTTAAAACCTCCTTATTGCTAATATTATATTCCTTTTCATCCTTTTAGTTCCATATTTCATTATATCCCTACAAAATCGTTTATAATTAAGTTAGTAATATGTATTTGTTCACCTTTTAATCCCTGATAACTACTGGGCTAAACCCAAGTACTTTGTTGTACTTGCTCCACTTTCCCAACAGGTAGTATCACTGCCCTATTGTATCCTATATTACAAATTAGCTAAAATTAGAATTTCTTTTCGGTATGGTAATTCTTTTGTATTTAAACTGTATATAAATCAAATTTAGTTTTATTAATTTATTAATTAAAAAAAAATTAAAAGATAAAATATATAATATTTTATTATATCTGTGATCTTCTTGAATAATATTATCTAATATTACAAAAAGTTTTAAATACTTGATAATTAACGTTTTGTTTAGAGACTAATTGATATTTTTATTTTATATTAGTTAAACTATACTCATTTCAAATAATCTGTTGAGTAGTTGCAACAATATGATAATTATCATCTATGTCTTCTTCATTATTTTGTTTGGTAACAGTTGAAGTACCAATATTAGAAGTAGTAATAGAATTTTTTGAAATAATTATCACATATTACTGAACAATTTGTTGTGCCAAGGTTAATTCATTTTCTGAGATAATTTCAGATATAATAGACCTTGAAAATAAAGCCATGCTTTTGCTCAATAAAGATTTTTTATACTGAAAGGTTTGCTGACAGTAGCATTAAATGCTTCTTGCAGCCTTGTCATAAATTCACTTTTGTTATTTTCCTGAAAAAAGAGAGACCAAAGACACCATATTCTCACTTTATAGATGTGAACATGGATAAATTCATCACCCAAGATAAATATGCTTATCAATATTTTTACCCACTTATCTACGTTTATAGAGTCATCCTCTTCCTTGCCTTTCCTTTTTTTTTGGTGATAGTATTTTCCATGGTTAACACTGTAAGTGTGCAGAAAGATTGTGACTTGTGTGTGTGATTTTAATTTTTTATCTTTTTTTCCAAATATTGGCAAAATCCAATGAACTATATATTGTTTTTGTTAACAAGTTTAACAAATTTAATTTTTTTTTTATTCTAGAAATAAAGTAAATTGTACTTTTTAGAATTTAAGTTCTAATGCACAAGAATCTTGATTAAAGTTTTCAAAAATAAAACAAAGTTTAAAAAAATAAAACAAAAGTTTTAATATAATAAAATATAAAGTAAAGTGTGAACTGAAAAACTTTTATGACATACGAAACAAAAATATTAAGGGAATATGGGAATATGGACGATTGTCAATTTTATAAAACAATGGATAATTAATACGCGACACACGCGTGATCAAATTTTCATTATGAGTAAAGTATAATGTCCTTCGGGCAATAAATAATTAAATGAGATACAATTAAAGTTTATTATTTTTATTTCTTTAAAACATTTAAAAATAAAAATGTTATTTTAAACATTGAAAGCATATATTATGTCAACAAAGATGTATTTATCACCATACCCATGTGAAAAATTTCGATCACATGTCAAATTATAGACCAATACGGATAAAGGACCAAAAATGATGAGATGCACATCATTTTTTTTATAAATAAAGTGTTCACAAAAATCTAGAAATGATATTTTCATAGTTGTTACAATTAAGTTTTATTTATAATTTTATTTAGACACAAATGACAAAAAACCAAATTGTTTGCATAATCCTCCCAAGAATCTTTGATTGAAGTCAATTTCTTTTTAATTTATTGGTTTAATGATTAATTAAAATTCCTAATTAGCAAATAATGTAACAATATATTCTTTGGTATTTGCATACACATTATACACATTGGATCTTTTTTTAGATAAAGTTTTCATTGATGATATTCTTAGACATCTATTTATTGTGTTACATTTCTTTCTTCCGATAAAAAAATTTTTACAATTCATTCGCTTTTCAACCTCTTTGATTTCTTTAATTTGTAACATTTATCAATTTATTCGTTTATTAATTTTTTCTAATGGATTCAACTGACCATGAAGGCCATGGAGGTAACTCGACATGCAATTCTCATGTAAGTATTCTTTAATAAAAAAAATATTATTAATTAATTAATTAATAAATATTTTAAATATTAATTAATTAATTAATAAAATATTTTAAATATTAATTAATTAATTAATAAAATATTTTTAAATATTTTAATATTTCAAATAATATAAATATTTTAAAATTTTAAATAATGTAAATAATGTAAATAAAATTTATTAGATGCTTTGGAATTGGGAAACCAAAAATGTTTGCATTGTTTTCTCTTGGTGGAGTGTAAACTCTATTCCTATCTTGATTCTTTCTTGTCTTATCGTTCTTCTACTTGCAACATCCTTTGAAGTTTTGAGAAATTTATCAAGGAAATATGATCGAAAAATTTATTCTGCTGCGCATAGTGAATTAGAAGAGGGTGAAGGTGATTCTTCGAATAGTTCAGCTGCCAATAAGAATCGTTTTATCAGGTATATTATCATTTTATTTATAATTTCCTTTTCTTTTGATGAAAATTTTCGTATTTTAAATCTTTTACTTATATTTTATCACTAATAATAATAATAATAATAATTTCTTTTAATTTTATCAACCAGAGTAACTTACATTCAACAATTTTTTCGTTCATTTATTTATTCCATCCAAGTGTTTTTATCATTTTTCCTTATGTTGATTTTTATGACATTTAATGGTTTCCTTATAATTAGTATTATACTTGGAGCAGGTTTAGGGTATTTTTTTTTCGGAAAACATACTATTTCGGGAACATTAATTGGAGAAAGGGAAATTGTGGGATGTCATTGATTCCAAATTCTAAGCAATTTTTTGATATTGATAAAAATTCCAAAAAAAAAAGTTTGTAACTTTATTATAATAGAAATATTATTTAAAATATTTAAAATTTAAGTAATTTTGTAAATGATGTTAATTATTATTTTGTTAAATATTAATGTATTATTATATTATATATATTTATATGTAAGCATTTAGTTTTAAAAGTTCAAATTAAATGGAATTATTTATCAATGTACAAAAATGGCATTCAAATTAATTATTAATAAATATTTATTCAAAATCTAATAATAAATTAATTAATAACCAAAATTTTAAAATTTTTTTTAAAATTTTCTATCAATAATTTCTTTCATAATCATAATCTATTTAAGCTTCTTAATCTTCATAATCAAAACCAAAGTCATCAAGATTATATTCTCTTTTTATTATTGGTCTTCCACCCATTCGTTCCATATTTTCTCTATTTTCTCTGCCCATTAGTGATAACCTTTCGTCAATATTTTCCCTGCTAATTAATGGTGGTCTTTCTCCCATATTTCCTCTGTCCATTAGTGTTGGTCTAAGTGTTGATCTAAGTGGTGGTCTTTCGTTCAAATTTTCTCTACCCATTAATGATGATCTTATTGGTGGCCTTTCATCACTCATTCGCTCTAAATTATCTCTACTCATTAGTTGTCTTGATGGTGGCCTTTCATCACTCATCCACTCTGAATTGTCTCTGCCCATTAGTTGTTTTGATGGTGATCTTGAGTCACCTATACGATCTATTTTGTCTCTGCTTATTAATGGTCTTTGTTCCTCGCTTATTGATGGTTGTGATATTTTTAATGGTCGTTCTCTTTCTAATGGTGGTGGTGGTACTATTGGTGTCGGTAGTGTTGGTGGTCGATGTCTATCTCCTTTACTCCTCCAATCAAAATTTTCTCTACCTATTGGAGGTCTTGATGGTAGTAGTGGTGGTGGTGGTGGTAGCGGTCGATATCTATCTCTAAAATCAGATGTCTCTTTACTCTTCCAATCTAAATTTTCTCTACCTATCGGAGATCTCGACGGTAATAGTGGTGATTTCTCCTCACTGTTCATAGTAGGTCTCAATATTCTCTTTTCTTTGAGATCATCATCACTCGAATCATTTATTCCTTTACCTACCATATCTGCATGAACTGTTGTGCCAATCCATTTAGGTTCTTTGATCTCTTTCGTATATGGCGTTAATTCATTATAAATAGTATCTAATAAACTTTTGTTTTGTTCCCATCTCTTTTTTTGTAATCCTTTATATGAAATAGTAATTGATACATTATATCTTTTATTCAACCATTCTTTCGCCCGTTTAAGCATAAAACGTAAATCTTTTTCTTCTACTTTCCAATGAATTTGTAATTCCTTAGTATTCGGCTTTACTGGTCTTTCCTTTTCTCTTTCCTTCGCTTCCTTTTTCTTTTTATAAAAAGTTTTTTTCGGCATCAATTTACATACTGGTGGATTCACCCTTCTATCTACTTCTACTAACATTAATACATTCTTGTCAAAGGTTTGTAATACAGTTTCTAATTTTTTAACGCCCTGTAATTTACCATCTACATCAACAAGCTTAATAAATGCATGTTCAATCTCTCCATTAATACGAGGTTTTTGTAATTGTGAATTTGCAACATTTATGTTTCGCGAGTTTGAGAAAAAACGAGATTGAAAGTCAATATTTTTAAAACCATTATTGTGGGTATTTGAGAAAGATTTGAATTTTTTATGGAAAGTATAAACGTTTAACCCAGGAAGCGAAGAAAGTGAGCGTGAAGATAAGTAGGAATTAATAAAAGTTAAATGAACAAGAAATGTTCTCCTATTCATGATTAAACATATCTATTATTATTTTTGGTATTACGAGTAACGAAATTGTATGATAAATAAATATAATGATTTAGAGAATTTTTTAAAATTCGAAATCTTTAAAAATTTTTTTTTTTTATCATTATCTTAAATCATGTGATATAAGGTAACCGATTAGAAAAAATCGAAGGAAACTCTTTTGAAACTCTTTTTTTTCGAAAGAATTTATTTTCTATTTACAATAAAGGGTATGAACAACGGAATAAGAGGTGCTTCGAGCGTCTTAAATAGAGGAGGTAGAGGTGGATTATCAAATAGAGTTGGTCGAGGGAGAAATGGACGAGGTGGAACTCCAAATAGAGGTGGGAAATCTAGTTCAACTTTAGCTTCAGAGCAACAACTTCATACAACGAGGGAAGGTGGTATACATAAAAATACAGTATCATCAACTAGTGCAAGAGGGCGAGGGAAGTTGAGATCCACAAGAGGAGGAAAAGTATATATATCTGACACAACGGATACAATATCTTTGCAACAGAATGAAATTTTCCTTCCTGAAACTTCTGAAGCTCCTGAAGTGGATGAAATGGAAATAGACTTATCAAAGGAATTAGAAAGGGAACTTGGTGAGAATTCTGTGTCATCTGTTCCTGAAGTAGATGAACTATCAAAAGAATCTGAGGATGAATTTGAAAAGGAACTAGAAGAGAAATTAGTAAAGGAATTAGAATGTGTACCAGGAAAAGAATTAGAAAAGGGACCTGTGAAGAAAAACAATCTTACTCTTACTAGATATATTTTAGGTGGAAGTCCAATAAAAAAATGTATTGGATTGAAGATGCCACAATCTGTTTTGAAGAAAATTCTTTTAGCTGGAGACAAGGGCATGAAAATAAGCTTTTCTCATGGCATTGTAATTATTTATAAATTAATTAACTAATTATTTATTTATTTTAAAATTTTTTTTTCTATTTTTTATTTATTATTTTATTTATTAACTTTAGCATATAAATTTGGGTGGAAAAGATAAAATCTCTTTTACAAAAGATATTACAGAAAAAAATTCAATTCTTGTTGAAAAGAATGGTTATCAGATGGGTATAGTTGGAAAAATACTTTTTCAAACAAGAAGTACTGATCAGACTAATCATGAAGCAAAACTTGAACGTGCAAAAAGAAATCTTAAAATCCGAAATGAAGAAATTAAAAGGGAGAAGGAAAAGAAAAAGTAAAAATTGTTTTTTTTTTTATAAATTTTTTGATCTTTTAATTTTTCTAAATAAATATATATCGTTTTCTGTCTTTTTTAGAGTTGTAATGCTTACAGAACTCCGTCCAGATCCTGAATTTGTAAAGTCAAAAGGAAAGAATATTGTTAAAAAACAAGTGAAGAGAAATGATGCAACTGCTAGTACATCAAAAGTTGTGACATATATAGGACCTGGTCTTCCACCTCCAGCATTTATGAGAAATGATAATAATAATGAACCAGGAATTCCTCTTATAAAAAGAGTTACTCATCTTATTGCAGTTGAGGATCTTAATACTGACCAAATTGCAACTAGGGTTAAGGATTCAATATTAAATGTTGAACATGTATTAAATGGGGTAAATAAATCAATATATTCTATATACTCCATATATTCTATATATTTAATATCATTTAATATCTTGATTTAACAATTAATTTTTTTAATAGTATGCAATAAAAAAAAATGGAATTTGGAAACTTAAAAGAGAAGCGTGGTTAAAATTAGATCCCTATAATTTTAAACCATATAATTCATCACAAATAAACAATGTTGTTCAAAAAATGAATAATATAGCTAATCAATTAGGTTTACCTGAAGATGCACCTGAAAGACCACATCCACCGGAACAAAAAGTGCCTGTTAACTATCCAGCAGTTAATTTTGAACCTTCAGTTATTACTGAGAGTTCCAATGGTGTGCAATTATCTGAAGGAAAAACAACCCGAGGTGGAAAAACGACTCGTGGTGGAAAAACAACGCGCGGTGGTCGAGACAACAGAGGTGGCGGAGGTGGTAGAGGTCGTGGAGCAAAAACAATAACAACTAATGTCACAGCCACTTCAGGAGATCAATCAATAAATGCTACACGAGGTCGGAGAGGAAGACCTATTGGTTCTAAAAATTCCACTCGTGGTGTCAAAACTGTAAATCAAAAAGGTACATCTTTATCTACTACGGAAATGGAAACCACCACACCTGTCGTTACACCTGCTGGGACAACTATATCTGCCAGTGCACCCAAATCTACAGCAGTCACGTCTGCAAATGCAACCAAATCTACAGTAGTTACACCTGCAAATGCAACCAAACCTTCAGCGGCCACACCCAAATCTTCAGCATCCACATCTACAAATTCAACCAAATATTTAACAGCCACGTCTACAAATTCAACCAAATCTTCATTAGCTACACCCAAATCTTCAGCAGTTACGTCTACAAATGCAGCCAAATCTTCAGCAGTCATATCTGTCAATGCAACCAAATCTACAGCAGTCACGTCTGTCAGTAAAACCAAATCTGTGATAGCCACGCCTGCTGTAAATACTGTAGTAAATACAGCTAAAGAGGACATTTTTCCTGCAAATAATGCAAATCAAAGTAAATATCAAGTAGAAACTCTAAGTAGTTATCATGAATTATATGCACACTTCAATCGTCAGATGAAAGTTTATAATGAATTAAATGCATCACTTAAACAAAGTGCTGCAAAGGCCGAAGAACTTTTAGCAGAAATTTCTGTCACCCAATCATCAATTGTGCATAAACAAAATTTAGAAAAAATTAATAATATTTATGGGGAAGGTTCTAAGTCTTTAGAAGAAATTAAAGCATTTTATGAACTGCAAGATGATCTGAAAATGATTGCTGAAGAATGCAAAAGAGCAGCAAAAGAAGGAATATATGATGAATAAAAAAATAAAAATTTTTTAATTTTTTCATTAATTCATATTTTAATAAGGACTTTACTTTCAGAGTAACTTTTTGATCTTTCTTGTTTAATTTTTTTTTTTTTTTTTTTGATTATTTCTAATAATATTAATAAATAATTCTAATAATTCTGTTAAATTTAATTCTGGGGGAGTCAACCTTTTGTTTTGCAGCTGATCCTTCACCAATTTTTTTAAATGCTTTATAAGAATTATGATTGATTTTAGAAATTTTAGCACGCGTTAGAATCCCACCAAAATGACATGATATTATAGAAATTCTTTTGTAATAATAAACAATTTTATTCGACGTAATTTACAAAAAATAAAATTACAGTAATAACACCTGATGAATCAAATGTAAAGGATTGATGAAAAGAATACAATAATAATTACAATGTCCATTCTTTATCTCTCTTTTCCTTCACTCTTTTCGTAATATTAACAATTTTACATAATTTGATTCTAATCAATTTTTCTCACCATATTACCATTTGTGGCAGCAGTTACAGCTTCTTGTAACGTAAAATGGAAAAATCGCTTACTCGTTTTCGTTGAAGAACTACTACTACTATTACTTTGTGTCGTAACATCTATAATTGTTGAATCTTTTTTTACCCCATCTATTTCTACTTCATCACTAGTATTATTTACATTATTTGCTTCTAAATCATTATTACTATGTACATCTTTCAAGTCCTCACCTTTATCGAAAGTCCCAAACCCACACATTATCAAACTTCTTTGAATTGAATTTGTATTAATGCAAGCAAAATGATATTCAACTGGACATCCGGCATGTTTATTTAATTCATTTTTAATTCCAAGTAATGCTTGCATTCCCGTTGAATCAATTACACTTACTGCTGATAAATCAAATACTGCAGCACGTAATTGAGGTAATTTTTCATTTTCTTTCCTAGCTTCTTTTTCATCATCAACATCATTCCAAGGACGATCACCAGCTTTTTTGACAACTTTTTTCATTCGTCGAGTCTTTAACCTTGCATGATCAATCACTCGAGAATCAATATAAGAAGAATTAGGATAAGTTAATGATTCTTCAAATTTAAAGATTAAAACACCATCGGGAGGAGGAACAGCTTCAGGAAAATCTTTACGGAGAGGAACGTAAACATGTTTTTGGGACATATCACTATCATCAGTAACAATTGTGAGATAACCGATAATATCAATTCTTGGACGTGCCAATCTTAAGAGTAATATTAAAAGTGCAAATCCTGTAGAAACATAAATGCCCATCTACAAATAAAAATTTTTCTTTAACATTACGAAATTATTAAAATATATTGAATAATAATATAAAACATACTTCAGTGGAAAAAAATATTGTGACTAAAACTCCTAAAGTAAAAGTCACGAAATCCCAAACTAAAAATATATATATATAATAATAATTTATATTAATAAAAATCTAAGATTTATGATATAATAAAAAACAAAACTATACTATACATTGAATTTCCCATAATTGTTTAACATATGAATATGATGATATTAAATCTAGTACAGCGTGAATAATAATCGCACTATTATACATATATATATATATATAAAACGAAGTGAGTAAATTTTTAAAAGTTGAATTAATTTTATCACATGATCACGGAATTTAAATTTACCTTAAACTTGCATCAGGTATATAACTGAAAGCAGGAGTTAAAACAAATAATGCCAAGATGACTAAAACACCTGAGAATATACCAGCTATTGGAGTTCTCACACCAGATTTTGCTTTAATGGCAGTACGTGAAAATGAACCTGTAGCAGGATATGCACCAAAAAATGAACCGACTATATTGGTAACACCAATTGCGATAAGTTCTTGACTTGGCATAACTAATAATAATAATATTGTAAAGAAAGATAATAATAATAAATTTCTAAACAAAAAGTGTTGTCCCCTCCCGTGTTTTTTTTTTTTAGTATTTTTTTAAATGCATACTTTTATAGTCATTAATTCTTCCAAAAGTTTTAGCAATAGCAATATGTTCTAAGATCAAAACAATAGTCGAACTAGGAATATATGATCCAACCTTCTTTATCATTGAAATACTAATATCAGGTACTCCTATATGCTTAAATCCAGAAGGAACATTTCTTAAAATTGATATGGGACTCTTTGTTAAATCTTTTCGATTATTTAAATTGATAAGAAAAGAGAATAAAGTACATATCACGACTAAACTACCAATACGAATGATACTTATGAAGAAGAAAAGTCTTTCACGTTTGGGGAAACGTTTACCAAGGTACACACAACCATATTTTAAAGCGTATAAATAAAGCAAACTAAATGCACCTAAGGCAGCATCTATTCTAATTTGATTTAAATGACTAAGAGTTTTTACTAAAACTAGATAAGTTGGCTTTTTATTATCTATACCAGAGATTCCAAGTAATTTTGCTATTTGGCCAACGGCGATAGTGATAGCAGACCCGGTGGTAAAACCAGCAATAACTGGTGAGGGAATAAATTCAACAAAAATACCAAGTCGAAATAAACCAATGATCAATGCAAGTAACCCCGAGAGAAGACATAAAGAAGTTGCAATAGCTTCAGGAGTAAGACTGCCATCAGGATATAAATCAATAAGTTTGTTTATGGCTTGACCCATAAGTAAACTCATTACAGCCACTGGTCCTAGAGTGATATCTTTCGAGGTAGCGAAGAAACAATAAATCGACACACCGATAAATGAAGAATAGAGACCATATTCCGGTTTTAATTGAGCAATTTTAGCGTAAGCCATTCCTTGTGGTATTAATACGGTACCGACAGTTATACCAGCAATTAAATCACCAGTTAACCATGTTAAATTATAACGATGTATCCAATTGAAAATGGGAAAAAGAGATTTAACGTAATCAACCACATAATTTGGAATTTTAGGTAAAGTTTTATTAATTTTTTCTTTTAAATTTTTTAAATTCCTTTCTTTTGATGGGTAAATATATTGATTATCTTCCATTATTTTTTTTTTATTTTTTTTACAATTTTTCCTTATTTTTCCCTATTTTTATAATTATTTTCTTTATTATTATTTTTACGGTTGGATTCAATTCTTTCATTTTTTATATTTCAGGATTACAGATCTAATCTACAAAAAGATGGGCATAGTGCAATGCAGCCTAAAATCACACCATTTCTGGTCTAAACATTTCAGAGACAACAAATAAATTTCCATTTTGATTTATATGCATTAATATCTACTGTTTGAATTTCTATTTTAAAATATATGTATTGGTTTCTTTGTTAAATAGAATGAAATTTAAATAAAGTTATAATTATCATCACATTCTAAGTAACGTGACGCAAATAATCTTGGCGCACTTGATTCATCAACTAAAACTTTAATATATTATCTCTATTAATTAAAGTCGTTCTTTAATATCAAAACTAAATAAAAAAAACATAATAAAACAATTTTATTGTGCAATACGTATGAAATAAATGAATTGACACAAGTTGGGTGAGACTTTTTTTGGTTTTAAAGCTTTTATTTACATAATAACCTGTCAAAGATAGGTAAAATTCATGTTAACCATTTTTTTTTTTTTTAGAATTTAAAAGGTAGTTAACTTTGACAAAAATACTAAAAATATGAAAAAAAAATTCGTGAACATATACTCTTGAGAAAAAAATTTATATATCTTTGTATTTATAAGCCAAAATAACGAAAATTAATGTGTATTTCCACAATTTATCTTAATCACGTAAAGATAGTTTATTTTAACAAAAGAGCTGAAATTACGTCTCAAATTTCTAGAAGTACACAAAAAAAAAAAAAAAACATTGGAATTTTAATAATTATTTTTTTTAAAAAACGCCTCTGTCCCAACACTCGACGTATAATGATTATATAATCAGAATGAGCTATAATATTTGTTGTTTGTTTATTCAACACGAAAATCCTTACATAAATTAAAAAATGTTAAAATCTTTAAATATTTTTCTGTCTTTTGTTTATTAACATTAACATTAATATGTTATGTGCAATTAAAAATTGAAAATTTTAGGGTACAACAGTTGTTTCAAAATTATATCTAAGTTATATATACACCTTGTCTATTAATTAAAGTTTCTTCTTTAGTACTAAATTAAACAAAAAATAACAAAAATAGAATAAAATAACTATATTAAGCATTAGAAAAAAATAAAATAAGTTGTCGCAGGTTAGAGAGTAAATCAACTGGTTAGACAGTTGAAGAATTGCTTTATCTCAAGTTCAAGTTGACTGCATAAAATAATAGTACACATCATCATAATATTTTATACATTATATTTTTGTATAACTATTTCTATTTTATTGAGTAAAGTAATATATACACGTATATTAGATTAAGTATTTTGTAATATTCAGTAAATAAAAGTTTATTAAAGTTTATTATTTATATTTCAAAAGAAAAAAAAAATCATATTTAGTAATTAAGGTATTCATTATTTCCATTATTGCTTCTATATAATCTTTGATTACCAGAATACATTGGATTATTTGGATCATTTGGATTATTTGGATTATTTGGATTTCCAGAATATATTGAATTATTTGAATTATTTGGATTATTTGGATTATTTCCGGAATACATCAGATTTGGATTATTATAATTATTTCCAGAATACATCGGATTATTTGGGTTATTTGGATTATTTCCAGAATATATCAAATTATTTTGATTATTTCCAGAATACATTGGATTATTGGAATTATTTCTCATATTTGAATTATAAGATGAAGTTGGGGGTGGTGGTTGTTGATAATAATGTTGTCTTTGTTGTTGAGTTGTTAATGCACTTTGTCCGTACGGTTTTCCCATTGGTTGAGAAGTTTGATATGTTGATGCTGTAGGTGAAGAAGGAACACCTCCGTGTGGATTATTAAAACCTCTACTATTATTACTATGACCATTATTACCTCTAATTATTATTGGTATTGATCCAGAACTTGGATAATTAATGACAACTTTTGAATCTGGACTTCGTAAATTATTAGAATTATTAGAATTGACACTTTTATCATGTGAAAATTTTCGTGTATTGCGCTCTCTTGGTTTTGCAACTTTATCATTATTATTATTAACACCAAGAATTTCATTTCTGATTCGGGTTTTTTTATTCATTGCAACAACACTATCTCTGGAAAAATTGTTATGTCGTGTTGAACTAGTAGAATTAAATATATTATTGAAATCACCATCGTTACGTCGTCGTTTATTATTTTTTAATACATTTATTCTTCTTCTTACAAAAAATCCAATTAATCCTATCACCAATATCAAACCTACTGATATTCCAATTATTAACCCAAATGAAATATTTGTACCATTTGAACTATTTGAACCAGCTGATGAAATTTGAGGTGTAGGTAAAGGTGAAGTTGTTGTAGGTGATATAATATCCGTTCGGGTTGCTAAATTGTTCGTCGATGTCGTTGGTCCCTCTGTTTTTATAGGCGTAGTAGTTTTTCCAAATGTTGTTGAAGGTTTTGATGTTGTAGAAGATTGTGTTGTCTGTGTTGTCGACGGTTTAGTAGTAGGTTGTGTAGGTTGCGTAGGTTGTGAAGATTGTGTAGATTGTGTAGGTTGCGTTTTTGAAAAACTACCCGTTGGGAATATTAGTTCATTCATTCCTTTAGAATCTTTATTTCATTTATATACGAAATAATTTAAATTTAAAATATATAATAATATTTTAAATTATTTTTGAACCTTAATTTTTTTAAATATACTTTATTTCATGCTTTCTCATATTAACTGAAAAAAGAGAATTGCAAATTGAACATTTGAAAATTTTAAGAAAATTTTAAGCATATATAATAAAATCCGAAAAGAATAATATCATTTTTCGAATAGAGTCAAGACTTGCAAATGTGAATTCATTAATATTATTTTATATTATTCTTAATAATATTTTTTCATTCATTATTTTTATTACTTTCACATTATTGTAGGGAAACTAAACTAAATTAATATAATCTAAATAATATATTTATAATGAGAGGTCTGGGTGAAATTTCCAAAAGGAAGAAAAATTTTATTAAAAGAAGTTTTAAATGTCAAGTATCGTTTCACTCCTGAGAAATGTGCTAATAAAAAAACGATTAACAATTTCAAATTGATAAATTTAGTTTAACCAAATTTACCAGATGATTCGAATACGTATCCCGATCGGTATTGTGATTTTTTTTTTTTGTGTTAGTTTTTTTTTTACGAGCCCCTGCCTTACGTTCTTTCTTTAACTACCATTATGCAATATTTTGTAATATTTGTTTTTAGGTAAATATACAAACAAATATTATTGTTATGCAAAATGTAAACTTTATACTGTAATCAGATCAGATATAGATTTTTATCTTGCTAGATTTGGTTTCGTTGTTATCTATCAAGAATTGATTAGATCTTTAATTTCTTTAATTTATTGTATAGACTATATAAATTATATTGATATGCATATTCAAAGGATTAGTAAACAATTGTTATGCATTTTTTTAATGTTATTGTATTCTTTTTTTTGTGAATATGATATTACTATAAACGCCCCTGGGGACAAGAATTAACATACATTTATAGAGGTAATTTTATAAATGATGGGACTGGTGCATTTAAGGAGGGAATGCACTTATAGAGGTTGCATTTATAGAGTTGACTGAATTATAATTCAATTTTTACATATTATTATGACCATTCTTGGCTTCTGACCTTTTGACATGACGATATGTGCATTGTTAAAGTTTTAGGTTTTAATGTAGATGAATGATAAATCTTATTAAGTAATTATTGTAATAATTATAATTATTGTCTTTAGTATTATTTCAAAATAAAGAGAAATAAATGAAATTAATTATTAATCATATGAGACAAATATCCTCAAAAGATTTTAAATTTAAATAATTTTTGTTCATTAGAATTCATGACCAATCATCCACTTGACACTCTTTGTAAAATTCCTCCAAAAATTATCATCATTTTCTTCACTCTTTTTCTCTTTTTTCTTTTCACTATTACTATTGTTTCCATTTTTCTTTCTTGCCTCATTAATATCTTCATCTTTTATATCTTGATACATTTTATTAAATTCGGTTTGTAAATTTAAAATAACTTTACGAACTGCATAAGGAGAAATTGTATTATATGACCTTAATCTACTATTTAACTTTTGAATTGATTTCTCATAATAAGAAGATTGCTTTTTTTCCCAATTTGAATTAGGTTGTTTTGGTGAGAAACCATTTGATAAACAGTAACGTAACCAATTTTCTCGCATACGTTTACGATGTATAAGGATCTCATTATCAACTTCCTTTTGATATTCGATCCAGGCTGGTGCTGCTCCTTGTCTTTGAACAAGTCGATTCCTGTTATAATTTATATTTAAGTAAAATTATTTTAAAATAAATTTAAAAAAATAAAATTCATTGACAAATTTATAAATTAAATTATTCTTACATGAAGAATTCCGTACGGTCAAGATATGGATTCTGTAAATAATTATTTTTAAGAAAAAAATTTTATTAATTTAATTTTTTTTTTTTTTTTTAATAAATATATAATGAATAATAATGAGAAATGATAAATATTAAAATATAATTATCTACATTCTCATTAGGATCTATAGGTAAAGGCTTTCCATGATAAGGAAGATTATTAAATTCGCCAGCCGCTATTGCATCTTGAATTCTCCTTTCCACAAGAGAATCCCATGTTGCAATATTTCTAGGTAAAATCTTTTCACTCTTGTGATGATCAAGATTGTCATCATCATTAGCTTCCGATTTCTCAGAAAATTTTTTACTAATAAAATAATCAATTGCAGCTTCTTTTGCATTCATAATACGGGTTTGATTTTTTATGCGTATTTTATTCATTTTTTCTTTTCGCAAATTACTATTATTTTGTTTTGATTGATCATCAGTTTCATTTACATAAGTATTAGATGATATTTTTATAGAAGAACTACGACTAGGTAGTGCAGGTGTATCATTGTATTTTATTGATTCTCTTTTAACTTTCAGGGGAGGATATTTATCAACTAGCATTCGTAATACTGTCGTCTTTATATCTTCATCACCAGTCCAAGGAATATCGTTCTCTTTAATAAATGAATTTTTAATGATAGTATTGATGGATGCTGATTTTACTTCATCGGTTTCTTTATTAGCTTCTTCGCCGGGGGTTTGAGATACTTGATTAGTTGAATTTAAAAGTTCATTATTAGTATTAAATTTGGCATTATTATTAGTACTGGTAATAGTAATAGAAGAAATAGTATTTTTATAACGTAATTTAAGAGAATTAAATTGGATTTGTTTGAAAATGCACGAAGAATGAGAAGATTTCATAGGGATGATATCTTTAGGGTGAAATATTGGACAATTTATATAAAAATATGAGTACAAATGCATTGACCACACGTGAGTGCGTTCGACTTTTAGTTAGTCGATTTTTCATTTAGAATTATTATTTATGCAAATACATTTTAAATTTAAATTTATATTAATTAATAAATTAAATAATAAAACATAAATTATCCTAATTACTTATTCAATTTTAAACATCTTTACTTTCTACTATTATTTCTTTACTTTCTACAATTACTTCATCATTAGATTTTTCAAATGATGTAAAATCGTCATCACTTGTATCTTTAATCTTTGATACTACAAGGAATGTACAAGGAAACGAAATTGCCAAAAGTATCCAGCATATTAAAAATTCAGCTAAAAAGTTCGTATTCACAGCATCAATTCTCCAGCTTATTGCTCCTCCTGCTGATTGAATAGCTTTATAATACCTAAAAAGAGAATGTTTAGATAACAATATTTAGATAATATTTTTTTTAATATATTAAAGATTGAAGTTATATTATTTTCTTTACTGTACCCTGCATATTTTGCCAATAAAGACGCCTCATTTGTTTGAGCTCCCATAACCCAATATGCATAACACTATTTATATGAATATAATAAAATAATTATTAATTTCGAATTTTCGAATTTTATATCGAATTTTATAAAAAAATAAAAAAAACTAAGAAATACATACTTGATACATAGCATCATTCATTCCGTAAAATATATAAAGTATTAATACTTCGATAAATCCCGGATCAAATAAGTCCTTTGGAATTACTGTATCAGTACGTTTAAAAGTTAATTGGAAAAACAATCCACCAATCCAATTCGCAGTTATTGTGACTACTAAGATTAATAATCCATAAATTCCACGAGTCTTTCGTGATAAATTGTTTGCATCGAGGAGTCTACCAAAAATTGCGGCACTTATGATTTGAGCAGCCCAATACCATAGATTGTTGAAGGATCTTGTACGAATATTGAAATAAAAAGCGTTTACAGCATTAAACTTTATATCAATTAACGATAAAATATGTAAAGATGTAAGATGCAATGTACAATGTAATGATTAGTTATAATGAAATATTATAAATATTATAAATAAAATAAGCGTTAAATACCTGATACGCGTAAAACCAATTGCTTGCTAAAAACATTGGTGTAAGAAGAATAATCTTCCAGTCCAAAAATAATTTAAAAACTCCTATTATTTCTTCCTTCCAACTTGGAAACTTTTTTATTTTAATATGTTTTCCATCGTCATGAACTACTTTTCTTGGTGGAAGTAAAATTAGGGATATTACTGCTCCTAATCCCATAAGAATCATGAATCCAATATAAGTTCCATCATTTACGGAACCGGCGGTGGAATTCCAATTTAAAGCGATTGGAACAATTGAACCCAAAACACCACCTTTTATTTAATAATAAAAACATGAAAAAATCGCGTCATTCAATCTATAAATATATCTTATAATGTGCGATTGCGATGTAATATGAGTAACAGTAAATTACCTAAATTAAAAACAGCCCAAAAAACACCGATAAATTTTCCTTTATCAGATTCGTTAGGATACGACATCATAATTGCGCCTTGGCCCGTCCAGAGAAGAGCAGCACCTAATAGTAATATAATATTAATTATATAATAATATAATATAATATAATCATAATAAGTCTGAATTAGTCTTAAAAAAATTGTTTCTTACCTAAACCAAGAATGCCACCAGCGAAAATTGGGAAAACTTCTCCTTTTACATGATTATAATATAAAAGAGATCCAGAGTATAGAGCATAAGTTATTCCACCTAAGGCCATACATTTTGAAGGTCCAAATTTATTAACAATTGGACCGGCAAATAAACCGCCGACAGAGAAAGCAGTATATAAAGCTACATTTGCATTTGATGCGACATGAGTATCTAATTGACCTCCTCCTCCCAAACCTAAAATAATTTTGTAATTATTTAAAATTAAAAATAGTTAATTTGCATGTTTTCGAATGAATTACCAAAAGAATAAATTTTTTTTTACCGTTCAAGGCATTAAACATGCCAGAGGTCAGAAAACAGATTATCCCTGCATAAAAAAGAAATTAATATCATGAATTTTTTAATTTTTAGTTACAAAATAATTTTTAATTACCAACGATTAACACCTGAACGAAAGGACTTGAATATCGAAAACCCATTTTATTTATTTTTTTTAAAAAAATTAATTAAATTAATTAAATTATCTGTTTGTCGTTCTAGCTCTTAATTAAATATAATTAATTAAATTAATTAAATATAATTAATTAAATTAATTAAATTAATTAAATTATTTGTTGGTCGCTTTAGTTCTTAATTAAATGTTGAATTTTTTTTTTAAAAAATTTCTCGCTTAACTAATAAAATCATAAAAAATTGTTCATTAAAACTTGGAGCCTGAAAAAAGAAAAGAGAATTGATCTATTATTTATATTATATTTAAGATTCATTATAGTGCTTATTAGAAAGTAAAGTAAATTATCACGTACAAGTCATTTAAAAAGAGTTCAAAATTGAAATTTATTTTGTAAACGGGGTAGTTAATTCGTATAACGATGTGCTATTTTCTCGTTTCTTTTCAATCTTACTTATTTAAAATGGATAAATTTGTTATCTATTTTAAGCCTTGTCTTGCAAAAAGATAGGAAAATAGCACTAGTCCTAAGTTGATTTTGATTCTAATAAAGTTTTTTTTTTTTTTTTTTAAATAAAAAATTACTAAAAAAAAAAAAATTGCTTTTGGGAATATATAATAAAATATTCGACACAGGACAAACATGAAATAATAATTTCTGAAATCAAAAGATCAAAATCAAATGGCAAGTCCACAGAATTTTCTGCATTATTCAATTGAAAAAGCATTTTCCTCCACAATTAAACTTGAGGAAATTTTTTGGCTTAAACTATGAAAATAATTTTAAGGAAAAAAGTCTAGCGTGGGTCTTATCATCATTGAAAAATTAAAGATTTGACTGATAATCTGTTACACAAACTTTGCTTAAATAATAATAATAATAAGAGAAAACAACAATACGTATTTAGGTTTTATTTTTAATATTTAATCGGGTGACGTAGATCCTCAAATAAAGATCATTAGCTTATGATCTTAAAATGCAAATAAATCCAACAATTAAGAGAAATTCGGTATGAAGCATTTTAATTAATTGCCAATCACAAAAAAAACTAAACCATAAACATATTTTTGAATTGCGTGATTCTTCATATTATTAGTTATTAATAATGATCACAAGAGAAACTGAAAATTAAACAATTTTTGTAATATACCAAATTTTATCGGTGAAATGTAATGCGTCAATGAAAGTTATAAAAAAAGTTGGTAACAATTATAAATTGGAACCGAAGATTTTGTAGGCGTCACATTTAATTAGTACATAGTTTATTCATTTGAGATAATCAGATTCGAAATTAAAAAAGATCTTAAAGTCAATAGCTTTTAATTAATATAAATGTAAAAGCGAAACATCTAAAAATAAATTTTTAGAAATAGAGGAAAAAAGGATAATCCTGGTATTAGATAACGCTCAAATTGAATTCTTTTTAAAACCTGACATTTTTAAAATCGTTGTTACCCAAAGATAATCGTGTGAAAATTTTTTATATATTGTTATGCGGGAGCTAATCTAATATTTTATATTAGGATAAATTAAAATAAAATAAATCTACGTATATTTGTGATCAGCAATAAGTATAAATTTTTATATGTACATAACATAAAATATATCTTACTGAATTATACTAAAAATTATTTTGCCACCCATTTTAATTTTGGGATCCTACTTTAATTAGGATTTGAATAGGGTAAATTTCATGGTTTATATATTTCATGATCCAAAACTCAAAAATAATTTTAAGGTACATATAATCCAGTCTTAATTTTTCAATTTTTTTTTTTTTTTTTGCACAATATGCAAGTCCTAAAATACCTAATATTTTGCCTAAGGTCTAAATATTAATTATATTTCATCAGATAGCTTTTATTGTTCTAAATTTCTAAACTGTTCCAAATCATTTACTTCTCACTAGAATGATGGGATGTAAAAGTCCTAGGCCAGCCTAGACCACCCACCAATCTTAGGACAAAGATGGACCTGACTTGGTCCTGTAAGACTGGTTCTAAGACCTGGTCTTTATATATATTACATTATCCCAACTCTGCCAATTCTGATTTTAAAGAGAGAAAGAGAAAAGGTATTATTCTTTTTAACACTTTCACTTAAATTCACTAATTCCAAATAAAGTAAGTATTTTACTTTATTTTTTTTTATAAAATATATATCTACCTCTGTCAATTCCAATGAGTTTTTTTTTATAAAGTTAATTGTATTATATTATATATAAGACCTGGTCCTGACTGGTCTTGAATTTCTAAGGACAGGCCAGTTGGACCAGGTCCTCAGGTTCAATTCAGAAAACCAACTCATCTCTAATGTTGATTATATAAACTTCAGCTATTTTGCTTTTTTCCACTTCACTTTTTTTTCCGTCCTTTTCATTTTTCTCTGCTTTCCTATTATTATTAAAGGGATGTTAAAGAACAAAAAAATATTAACATTCATTTTTATTTATTTCCACATCTATTAGGACAATATACTTGGATCTGAAGTGCGTTTTTTCTATTTATTATGCTAACTGTCGATCGTAGGTTAAGAAGAAAGAAGATTTAGAAAGGTGTGATTTTCTAACCATGCTGTTGTTCTTGTCTATTTTGTAAAATTTCTTAATACAGACAGGAAATGATAATAATGTAAATGATGTGTTTTAAAATTTTATGGATAGAAAAGTGGAAAATAGAAATTTTTATGTATATATTTTTTATATCTTCTTAATGAACAAACAATAATAGTGGAATTGTCGAAATTATCTTTATTTAAATTATTTTTTTTATTCATTACATTATTATTTTGGTTGAATGCATCTAAAAATAAATGGTTAAAGAATAAGTGGCACGTTGAGACACAGTTGTTCTTCGAAATCTTTTGATGTTAAATTCTTTGAGATGAATCAATACTGCTTGTATAGTGAAATTTGAGAATAGATATATCATTTAAATATTTTTACATTTATCTTTCATTTCAAAAAAAAATCATTAATTTCAAATAATTGTTGAAAAATTCTAAAGCAGAAGGCATACACGGAATTAATGAAAGGACTCAAAATGCTGGATATGTTTGGAGGAACATGCCAGATCAAGTAAATCAAACACTCAGATCAAGGAAATTTAGGAATGATTCTATAAAGTATATAATAAAATTATCACTCATTTGAATATTCCAAAGAATCATAATAATAATTAAAGTATTACGTATACAAAAGTAACATTCAGAGAGAGAATTATATTTTCTGTCACACTCACAAATGCACGATATAAATGATTATTAACAAGTTTTTTTAAAAAAATATTGTTCTTGTCTATTCAAATTTTTATTATTGTTATTATTATTATTATCGACAGATGAATTCGTCGAGAGAGAACTTATTCTATTTGATAACCATCAACAGAATTATTCTCCAACATCTGAAAAGTGCGTAATGCTATTTTATTTTATAGATATATGTTTTACTTATTTTCTTTTATTAAAAAAAAAAAAACTCTACTGTTAAATACAGTAGGTTACCATATGGTAAATCTTCATCACGGTCTTGAAGTATTAGTGATTCAGAGGACTTTTCCGTTTCGTCAGAATCTATTTATAAAATAAATTTGAAAGAACGAGAGAGAGAATATAATGTAACATGTTCTTTTAAATATGCAAAAGAAATAGATGACAAAAAAATACTTCAAAAGAGAAAAAAATCACGAAACAACGAAAAAGCATAAATCAAAAAAAAAAAATAAATAAAATAAGAAATCAAAATCAAAGAAATTACTTCGAGCAGTGGTGGTGGTGAAATTAATTATACCAGTTCCGATGAAAACTATGAAAAGACAATGTAAATGGATAAGATATTATAAATGTATTTGATAAAAAGATGGATGAACTTTGGTAAAAAAAATTTTTACAAGACAAATATTTTTTTATTCATTAATGATATATTGTTGAATTGCTCGAAGATTTATTAAATTTTGATAATGAAAATAAGCTTTGGGAAAAGAGAGTACGTTATTATTATTACATTTATTATATAATAATATTATTTAACAGATATGGTTGCATATTTATAATGAGGCATTCCACGTGGTGGTGAAATTGGTCTCACCTCTAATGAGAATTCAGCTTCTCGAGTGATGTCTTTTGATAATAGCACGCCAACTCATTTTGAGATCACGAAATAGAAAGGATTAAATAACTTTTTAGAGTCTGCTAAAGTACAGAATAAAATTGAAGAATGTTATTGACTTGGAATTAGAATCACAAAAGATGAAAAGAAAGAATTTCAATGGTATTTGAAATCAGCTGAAAAAAGAAATAAATTTAGACAAAGTTCAATTGAAATGAAATCGGAATATCAAAAGAGAAATCAAATAAATTAATTCAAGATACTTTAGCATTCTTTAAATCATGATAAATTAAGCAACGGTGAAGATTAGTATATAATTTAATACTGTATTGTACTGCTGTTGTATTGTTGTATCCGTTGACAAGCAAAGATCATTTCCAAAATGTAGATGTCATTCAAATGGTAAATTGATAGAATGAAAATTATGAAAATGCAAAATTTGTAGATAGATTATAGTTGGTTCAAAACAAAGATATAGAATATTTGACAGGTGAATATGAATAAGCCAATATTTAAAAATTATTGAGAATTTCTTTAATCCATTCGTATTCGTGAATAAGTAAAATTTATTTGATTTCTAATAAATAATTTATTTACTACATCAAATAACTTTTAAATGCTTTATAAATCGTTTATCTTTAGATACATAATTTATTAATTAATTACAATATTATTATTATTATTATTAGAAATTTGCTTGAAAAAATGCATTTATTATAAAATTATATTCAATGTAGATCATTTAATTCACGAAAAAAAAAAATTTTATAAGCTGAACTTCACATTATATACAAGCAAGAAGTTGTTATACGAGAGCTAAATCTAAAATTTAGATATTACCATAAAGTTTTAATAAAGCTTACGAGATAAATCTATTCACACACATATGTATATATATATAATTAAAAGGATGTGAAAAAAAAAAATAACCATTTGGAATATATTTTATCATAATTGTTTCCCACTTCATAATTACATGCCTCGTAATTAAAAAATCACATGTATCCTTTCAAAACTTCTCTATCTAATTTTGTATCAATTTTACCTGTATAGAAATAACATAAGATTTTCTTAAAAGTTTTATAATCAACATCATTAATATGTATTACTTTGGTTTCTTGATTTTGCATTTGTCGAAGTTTCATTTCTTCAACTGTCATCTATAAAAGTTAAATTATTTATATGAGAATGAATACTGTAAGAATGTTATAAGAACATTGTATTTATTTATTTATTTTTTAACTTACTTTATCAATTTCATAACTCTTATCATGTCCGGATTGTTCATTGATAGGAACCCAATCATTTTCTCGTAATTCGATAATTTCCTAATTTAGGATATTAAAAAAAATATTTAGTATAAAAGAATAAAATCGTAGTAAAAAAAAAAAAAAAATTATTATTGTTATGAATAATTTACCATCAACATAGAATGTAAAATTCTATTCAATTGAGGATGTTTTGCAAAAAAAAGTAATCTCTCGAAATAAGTATCCAAATGAGGTTTGGCTTTTTCATGATCAATAAATTTACCGGCGGTTCTTAATATTTCACATAATAATTCAATTTGATCTGGAAAAGGATGTGACTTGTTCAAACAATGTTTAATACATCTATGCATCATTGATTCAGTAACAACGTTACGTTTAAATAATTCTGCAAAGAATCTTGCAAGACCAAGCCAACGTCGTTTCTCTTTAAGACCTAAAAAGAATTCATTGGATTTTATGTTAACGGGATCTCCATTTTCATCTCGTTTGATATAATGATCTGCTCTACATCCCTTTTCAAATTCTAATTGACATTTGGTGTACAAATATTTTAAAAATAATTGACGCCCTTTTGCTAAAGATCCATCTGGCATTTTAATATTAATATCTTTAATTTCTTGATCAATACCATCCATTAAACTTTTACAAAGATGTACATATAAATGACTATAATTACGACATTGACATGCATGATCGAATATGATATAAATAATGGTTCTCAAAGTGTGTCCATCATTTTCATCTTTTGATTGATTTGCGAAATTAATTATTTGTTTAGAAATCTTATCCATATTATCCCATAATAATTTATTTAATAATCCTGTCAATTTTCGTTTGATTTTGGTCGTGGTTAATTTATCTTCATAATTATTTTTGGATTGATATTCTTCGGTAATTAAAGATTTATTTTCATCAAATAATTTTTCAAAATATTTTGATCTTGAAGCTAAGATAATTCTATGAGCATTTAATTTTCCTCCACATTCAAATTTAAATTCAATATCGCTAAAACGATCGTTATATAAAAAAGGTTCAAATGGTGTCATTTCATTGATAGGAGAATCTAAAATGGTTATCTTGATCGCTATCTCAATAGGATCTTGAAGAGATGTAAGTATTGAATCTGTACGACAGAATTTAGATAAACCATAAGAATTTTGATCATTTTTTTCAACATTATCCAAAGTGAGATGAACAGTTTTAATGGTATTATAAGAAGAATTTTGATTAAATCGTAAAATTTCCATTTTTAGAATTTTATTATTTTGAAAAATTCCTTGTGGATTATTATTAACATCATCATCATTTTTAAATCTTGGAGAAACTTGAAGGTATAAAGAGACATAACCAGGTTTTAAATATTGTCGATTTCCATTTGGAAATAATCTAATTCTACAATCATATCCAGTAGTATCTCTAGTGAGATCATTTTCTAAGATGAAATTATTGCTAGTTAAGAATCTTCCTCTGGGATATTGATCAACCAAACGTTGAAAATCTTTAACAAACCAACGAATAGACCAAGCGTGAGATAAACGTTTTCGAACTGATATTTGCCCCTGGTCTTCAATTTCATAGTCAGATTTTTCTTGATAATTTGTCATCAATCGACCACTACAATTATTATTATTATTATTGTTACTACTAGATGATGATGATGACGATGACGATGATGATGGTGATAATGATGATAAATTTTGTCTAAACATTTCCAAATTTAATACAATTTAATCAATTTTAATACAATTTAATTCAAATTTTAATTCAATTTAATTCAATTTTGACACGACACGATTTAATACAGATTTATCACGTCTAGTGGTTGGGACCAGAGGGAAAGGATGGGAAATGATGACAAGATATAATATATATATATATATATATAAAAGAAGAAAATGGAAAGGAAGGTTTTCGTTAACAACTTTAACTTTTAACCACGGTAAATAAAAAATAAAAAATACAGTGGAAAAAAGAAAGAGTAACTACAAACAGAGAAAAAACAAAAATTAATTGCGAGTAATTATATAATTTTATTGATCAAGTGATGTCACCTCGTTTTTTTGATGTAGTTGGAGTGGCACAATGAAGTAAACAATCAAGATAGAAAAGAAATACAAGTGAAATAGGTAAAAATCTGATCATGAGAACAAAAGTTTCAAGTAAGAAATCTAGAAAATTCCATAAAAGTTTAGAGAATGCATTATCATAATCGAATTTCGCAATATCATCGGTTTATAAAGTCATTGTAAATAAACACTATATCTTGAGTACATGATAATCATACCATTAATGATTAATTAAATGTTATACCATTAATTAAATGTTACCATCCATTAAAACGAAATGTTATCAATTATAAATATTATAATAAAAGATTTTAAGGAAGTTTTAATTTTAAACAAATAAAGTAAAATACAATTAATACGATTGGTTTGTGTTTAATTTGATTATGTAAAAAATAAAAAACTGTATATTTTAATTCAATTTCCCCTGTTTATTTAATTTTCTTCTAGAAAGAAGTAAATGAAAAAAAATGATCTAAAAATACAATTTCTTTTATGATGTCATTATCATTGATTATTTTGAATCATTGAATAGTTATCGAACAGAAATTGTTTCTACATTAAATATATATATATATTTATATATATATATACACAGTTTTTAAACTATTAAACCTTTATTCCTTTGACCTAATTTATGACGGATAGGTAATAACGTAAATCTAGTTGATTGAGGTGCAATTACCATGATGTTATGATAATCTTGTAATGAAACACCTTTACGACGCCTGTAAAGATTAATAAGATGAAAATAATAATTTAATAATTTGATAATTTGATAGTTTAATAATTTAATAATTTAATAATTTAATAATTAAAAATTTACACAAAAAAAAAAAAAAAAAGTGATATTGAAAATAATACTTACATATCTGTTACTTTTGGATTTAACTGAAATAATAATCCCAACATAATAGAACTACGCGTGTAATGTCTTTCAACATTTTTGTTAAGAAAAGGTTCGAAAATTGTTAAATCAATAGGATCAATCTATGTTAAAATAAATGTTAAAAATAAATGTTAAAAATAAATGTTAAAATAAAATAAGTGTTAAAAATAAATGTTAAAATAAAATAAGTGTTAAAAATAAATATTATCAGTTCAAATAACATAAAGATGAAGAAAGATAAATTGTACCTTTTGTCTAATTACTTTAATAAATTGATTTATCATTTGTTCTCTTTGTTGATGTTCTTTTATATCATTTTCATCAATAAGATCAGGTCCTAATGACCAACAAGATTCAAATACTTTTCTTAAAAATTTAATATCATATAAAACTTGAATAGCTCCTTTTTCCGATATTTTAGAAAATTGTTCTTCATTTGATGTGAGATTATTATAAAGATCAAAAATTGTTATATAAATTTGTTTTACAAGATCTTTAATAATGGCCTGTTATATATAAATTATATATAAATTATATATAAATAATATATATTTATATAAATTATTTATGTTAGATTTGGATATAAATTTATAAATTTATGATTTTATAAAGATTAATTTCAAACCTCATGTAAAGTTGGACTGCCAACAATATTAATTTCTCGGCAAATATTGAATAAAAATTTCATTATTGAACTAGATGGTTGAGAAGGTAATTTGATTTTTTCAGCTTCTACGCCTTCCGTTGATTCCTGTATTGTCACTTCTGATAATAATTTTAAATATTATTAATGATCGACAATATTTTAATTATAAATAATATTGATATCTTCTAATTTACAATACATACATACAACACTAACCTTCCCATACTAATGTTTGTTCATCCCAAGAAGAACTTGATAATATATTAGTTATCGTAATTCTTGCATTATTTTTCACATGTTGAATCCATGGCTTATATGCCATAAAATATACTTGCATAAAAATTTCACGTAAATTAATTAAACGTGGATCTAAAATAAATTAAATAAATTTGAAAATATTTGAGCATCTAAATATTAAATAAAAAAATCACGTAAATATCACATAAATATCATATAAATATAATGTATTAATATTACCATCAAATTTCTCATGTCTTTGGTGATTAATTGTCTCATATGCAATTGCATTTGCAATTCGACCAATGAGTAAACGTTTAGCTAGTTATATATATATATATATATATAAATTAAAATTTGAAAATTGCAAGAATTATTATTACACAATCTTTATTAAGTATTAAAAAATATAAAATTATTCATACCATTTTTAACACGCATTTCGTTATCATTATCATTATCATCATCATTTTGATAATTATTATTATTATTATTAATGTCTTCCAGTAAATTATATAAATGGTCACGATACAAAGTAATAGATTTGATAAGAATATCTTGAAAGAAAATTGATAATTCCTCCGTATCACTAATTAAATGATTAAAATGATTAAAATGATTAATGATTAAAATGATTAAATGATTAAATGAAATAATTAAAAATTAGAATATAAATTTTCAAAATCTTTTGAATAAAATTAAAATCACCTGTTAATTTCAAATAATTTTCGTCCAATATATTTATCATAAAATGAATTATTTATTTCATCATCATCATCATCACCATCATTATTATCATTGGTATCATCTAAAAATGCAAAAATTGGTTCCAAATCATCTCGAATGTCTTTTAAATTTTTTTCAAATGTTTGTTTAATATCATTCACAAAACTAGTTTGCGTAGATGCCAAACATTTTATATGATTCTTAAAAGATGAAGCAGAAATATCTTTAAAAAACGAGGATCCATGATTCCAAATGAAATTTCCGAGATGACGCTCTAATAAATAAAAAAAAAACAAAAAAAAACAAATAATAAATAAAAATTGAATTCTGATGTGATTAGTTTTTGTATAAATTTGATTTACCTTCGTTATTAGGATCATCCAAAGTATTCAATCTCTGTTTTATCAAGGTGGAAGGTTGTTTTGATAATTCTTCAAAAGATATTGATATGATATCTTGAAATCTTTTATTAAAACCACATCTTAATAAATCATTCCAAATAGAAAATGGTTTTCCGAAAACAAGATTACACACCTACAAATAATAATAATTATAAAAACAATAATTATAAAAATAATCTTCAAATATCTAGGAAAAAACTTACAAATTTCCAAGTCCATAAAGTTTTTTGTATTTTTAATGTAAATCTAAGATTTTTCCTATTAGAAGAAAATTCTTTTATTGTATCTTTATCATCTTTATCATCATCATCATCATCATTTTTGGTAATCTCATCATCTTTTAAAATATTCCAAATATTCTTTCGTAATTCATTCAATTTTTTAGCACTGATTACATTTAACAATAAATTCTCAAGTTTTTCTTGAAATTCTTTTGTAATATTTTCCAACCATAGATTCATTTTGATAATAATATCTTCTTGAGAAAAATTACCACGAGTACCCGATAAATTTAAAAAAGGAGTAAAAGTTTGAATCGATTCAGGAAGGTAACGAATAAGTAAATGAATATTATTTGATGGTGAGTAAAGGCGGGTAAGTGAAACTTTAGAATCTCGAGGTGAAGACATTATTATAGAAGGATGATCTTCTTGATGAACGGTGAAACCTTGTTGTAATTGATAAAGATAAAATTCAATTAAAGATCTTTCACCATCATCATTATTATCACCTATTTTCATAAATACCATTCCAACATGATAAATTATACTTCTAATTAAATTAATCATTTCTTTAAATTTTTCTGTTAATAATTTTATATCTGAATTAATTGATTTTTCCAAAAGTTTTGTTAACACTAAAGTTCTTGATTCTAAACAAATTTGAAATACATCTCTTTTAGTTAAGTCATCCAATAACATGATAGCACATAATGTTTCAGCTAAACTCTTGACATCAAATAATAAATAATAAATAAAATAAATAATAAAAATAATAATAAATAAAAAATTATTTATTTTATTTTTTTTTAATTTTAATAATAACAAAGGATAATAAATAATATAATAATAATAATAATAATAATAATAATAATAATAACAACAATAATAAATAATCACCTGTTCTGATTGATCAATTACTTTTAAATATTGAGTAGCTTTTTGAAGAATTTGAGTTTTGAAGTGACTAACGGCATCCCATTGACGTTGAACTACTGGAAAAGTTACTGACACATCAAATGGTGATTCTTCATTATAAGCTTGAAGATTTTTATAAACTAATTTTGCAATTAAATATAAACGACTAGCATTAAGATATTTATGACTTTCTAATGATCTCCAAATCTATTAATATAATTAAAGATATTAAAGATATCACATGTGAATTTGTTAAAGATATTAAAAAAAAAGACGAATACAGGAGAAATAAATAATAAAATACGAACTTGTTCTGGAACATCTACAAGTAATTTTATTTGTGCAGCATAGGAATATAAATGATGTTTATTTTCATCTAGATATATATATTCAATTATTATTATCAATTATCAATTAAAGTAAAAGAAGTATTATTAATTAAAGTAAAAAAAGTATTCAACCTTTTGTTCCTTTTTTATCTTCATTAATCTGGATTCTACCGTTATGTTTCAATGCATCAACATTACTAGAATCTTGCATGTGATGCAATTCTTTTTGAATTGACAAAGCACATTGACGCATGTTTACGATGCTATCAGCCGCATCAATCAAATCTCGATATCTTTCACTAAAAAAAATGATAATTAAAAAGAAAAGAATATACAATCATAATTATCAATTATAATATTACGCAATTTTTATTATTTTATATTATGCAATTATTATCAATAATTTTTATCATTATTAATAATTTTTATCATTATTATGTAATTAAATCTTACCCAACCATCAATCTTAATTCTTGTTTTTTCTTTTCGATATCAAATCTAATTAAAAAAAAATATCATTTTAGCATTCTATTTTAGGAAATATTACTTAAATATTGTAAATTTAATACCTTGTTTTTTTTTCATAGGTTCGTAACTCGGGAATACTATGTTTGACGAAAAGTTCATCGGCATTAGCCGTCGTCGACCGATTTTTATTTAATGAACTTGCCGTAATGGTGTATGACATTGTTAATTAAAGTATAGTATATTAATGATAAATTAAAAAAAAAAAAAAAAAAAAATCGATAAAATCCGACAAAATGCCGCCACACGCAGTTTATATACCAAATTTCTTGGTTGCAATTAGTAGATCGGATAATCTTTACTAAAGTCAGAAGTAAAATTGCGTAAATTTGCAGATTTAATTACAAATATTTATGTTTGGTTGTCAAAAAAAAAAATGCATAAATAATCTTACGATTTATTGTTATTGTTATTTTTATTTCTCTTCTTCAAAACAATGGAATCATTTCAACGGATGAATCCTCAAGAACCAAATTCTTTTAAACATAGATTTTCTTTCGTGAATGGAATAACATATCGTAAGCAATAAAAACATCAAATACATTCATCGAATACATCATCATGACTATTACCAGTATATATATATATGTATATCATGTATATCTCTATATTTCTATATAATCAATAATAGATTATGTAGATGAAGGCGAAGAAGGAAATGATGCAATAATTCTCATGCATGGTTTTCCTGATTTATGGTACGGTTGGCGCTATCAAATTCCTTATTTAGTGAATAAAGGATATCGGGTAATTGTCCCTGACCTTCGTGGATATGGACAAACTGTATGTTTTTTGCGTTTCAATATTTATTTATTTTTTTTTTTTTAATTATGTTCGTTATTTTATATTTTATATTATTACCAAATAATATAATAATCATTATTATTTATTAAATTTTAGGATGCACCTCGTTGTCCACCCAATGATTTACATCAATATGGATCGAAAAATGTTTCTAAAGATATTAAAGAATTAATGGATCAATTAAAAATCAAGAAAGCAATAATTTTTGGTCACGATTGGTAAAATATTTAAATTTATTAATTAACTATTTATTAAAATTATTAATTGAATTTATTAATTAATTATTAATTTACCAAATATGTTTAGGGGTGGCTTTTTGGCATGGCGATTATGTATTCATTATCCTGAACGTGTTAAGGCTATAATTAGGTTTGTTATAATCATACATATATATATATTTTTATTTATTTATATTTATTTATTTCGTGATTCATAACTTCAAGATTTTTCTATTTCCATTTATTCCTATTTATTTTCAATTATTTAGTCTTAGTACTCCTTACATACCTCCAAATGATAATTATATTTCTCTTGAATCAGTAGCGGAAATTCTTCCAAATTTACAATATCAAGTTTATTTGTCACATCCAAAAGCTGAAATTGAATTAGATAGCAATGTTTGTATAAATATATATCACAAATATCTAATATTTATATATCACAATATTTAATAATATTATATATCACAATATATCACAATATTTTTAGATAGAAAGGTGTTTAAAAGCCATATTCCGTACTTCAACTACTGAGGATCATATTAAATTATTTGATGGAAAATCTATGTTGGGACATGTTATTGATGGAGTAGAAAAAAGTGAATTAATCACTCAAAAGGTAATTAATTAATTAATTATTATTATTATTTATTTTATTTTTTAAATGAATTTGAAGCAGAATTACTTTTTTTTTTTTAAAAAAAAAAATAATAATGACAACAATAATAATAAAATGAAAATAGGAATTAGATTATTATGTATCTCAATATAAGACTCATGGATTTCATGGTGGATTAAATTGGTATAAAACAAGAAAAGTCAATTATCAAGATGAGAAAGGTAAACTTTTATATAATTTCTTTTTATTTAATGAATGTTGTATTTATTGGTCTTTTTTTTTTACATTTATACTTACAGGTACTAGAAAGCAAATACATCATCCAGCACTAATGGTATTTATTATATTTATTTATTAATATTTATTATATTGAAAAAATAATTTATTTATTTTAATTAATTAAATTAAATATTAATTAATTTAGGTTACTGCTAGTAAAGATCTTCATATTTATCCTAGCATGACAAAGAATATGCATAAATTTTGTAAAGATTTATCTATTAAGGTAAAATATTAATTAATGATTTTTAATTACATAATAATAATTTTATGGATTTCATATAAAGTATTTTTTGAAAAAAATTACTTTTTATAGAATATTGAAAATTCGGGACATTGGATGATGATAGAGCAAACAAATCAACTTCATGAATATTTGGATGAATTTTTAGAATATGTAAAAAATAATGAATCAATATTAATTGAAAAACAGCAACAATATCGTCCTTATTATTATCGTTATCAATCTAAAGAGAATAAAGCAAAATTATAAAAAATATATATTTATTTGTTAACTTATTATTTATTATTATTATTTTATTATTATGCTACTTATAATGTAATATGTATTGAATAATATGACAAAAAATTGTAATAATAAACCTATATAAAGAGATATTTTTTTAAAAAAAAAAAAAAGTTTACATTTTTCTTATATTATATATTAATTGCTTTAATTGTTAATTTACCATCTCCGTGTATTCTCTATATTGTAATTATATGCTTATAGAGAAGTCTAACTGCATTTAAAAAAATATATTTTGTACAGTAGTAGTGAATCTCGAAATATTAGTTCGGGATTCGATAATAGATTCTTGTATTACATCAACAAATATAAATTCGGTATAAAATTCGTTTCAAAAAAATCGATTAAAAAAAAAATGACAACGAAGACACCAACTTTATCACCAACTTCTTCGACACCCTCTTCAAATAACACCATTTCTACTCAACCTCATGTTTCATTTGCCTCAGCCGCAAAATCATCAGCAATAGAAACAGCAGAATCGATAACACTGACATTACCTCATAAAGGAAGAAGAGCAAAAAATTTATTAAGAAATTATTATGGATTAGGTCCAGATGGAAAAAAAGCTAATCCTTTCGATATTGGTAAAATATTTTTTATTATTGTTATTTTACGTTATGTATGTGTTGATATTTTATTTATTTTTCATATAATATAATATATTATCTACAACTCATGCAAAGTTTTCAATTTTTTTTTTTTGTTTTAAACAGATAATTCAGGATTTGAAGTTGATCAATATTTTAATAATTTACTTACTGAAAAACATCTTTTTGAATTGGTGCAAAGAGATAATGACTTAAGCACAGGCAAGCAAGTTATCATTATAATTTATCTCAAATTATTATCAACTTATAATTTATTAATAATACTAACATGATTAATTATTATTTTTAGAAATTAGACAACTTGATGGTGATATGAAAACTTTAGTTTATGAGAATTATAGTAAATTTATTAGTGCCACAGACACAATAAGAAAGGTATATTAATTATGCACATACATTATAATATTATTAAATATTGTTAATGTTTTTATTCTTTTTTTTTTTCTTTTAAAGATGAAAAGTAATGTTGAAAGTATGGAATCAGAAATGCAACAATTATCTCAAAACATCACAGAAATTTCGAATGTTAATTCATCCATGAATACAATTTTGGGACCAAAACGAGAAAAGATTCGTCAATTGACTGGAGTTCATGATTTATTAAAAAAGATTCAATTCATTTTTGAATTACCTAAAAGATTGAAACATTGTTTAGATCAAAATTCTTATACTCAAGCTGTAAAATATTATGCTAAAACGTCACGTCTCTTGGAACATTATAGAAGTTTATCAGTATTTAGTTCAATTGAAGTGGAATGTAAAGAAATTATGGATAAAGTCATTAAAAAGATTAAAGAAAATATGAATAAAAAAGATGTAAGTGTTAATAACACATTTTCTTATTATTCTAATTTATATTTTATAAGTATACTTTTTTTTTTATTTATTTTTTTATTTATTTATTTTTTTTTTTTATTTATTTTTTTTTTTATTTATTTTTTTTTTATTTATTTTTTTTTTTATTTATTTTTTTTTATTTATTTTTTTTTTATTTTTAGGCAACAGGTTCTGAAATGACAGAATGTATGAGATTGTTAATAGCATTGAAAGAACCTCCTGAAATGCTTGCCAAAGAATATCTTGAATTGTAAATATTATTTATTCTATTTATTTATTTAATTTAATTTATTTAATTTATTTATTTATTCCATAAATTTTATTCATTATTGAATAATAATAAAATTGGTATTTTCTCTAGACAATCAATATTTCTTTCAAATCTTTTAACAAAAACAGTTGATGAAATGACACCAATATCACTAGAAAATTTGGAAAATCTGGAAAATTTAAATACAAATAATAATAATAATAATAATAATAATAATAATAATAATAATAATAATAATAATAATAATAATAATAATAATAATAACAATAATAATAATGGAATTACACAAAAGCTTATACATTTGAATGAACATTTTTTAAAACAATTCAACAAATTTGCTGAGTCCTTTAATTCATTCTTTTTACTTCCACCGATGCCACCCCGGGGTAATACACCCAGAGACATTAAAGATGGACGATCTCCTTCAAAATCATCATCAAAGAATTTTGAATATGTTTTTGCTAATTTAGGTGAAGAGGTGAATCAATTATTCTAATTTAATTCATTTTAATAATTTAATTTGAATAATTTAATTTATTTAATTTATTTATATTTTTAGGAAAGAGAAATTGCTAAAATAGATTTTTTGAAATTTATTGATACAACAATTTCTGAATACCTAAAAACAGTGAAAAATTTATTAATATTTCCGGTAATCATTTGTCTTTTTTTAAAATATATATATATATATATGTATATATATCTATATGAAATTTATAATAATTTATAATATTCATAACTATAATTTATAGGATAACATTACTGATTTTCAGCCAGAAATACATTTACAATTATTAAATGAATTATATTTTTCATTATCATCATGCCGTAGTTTATGTTCAATTGGAAAATTAGATGAAAAAGTTAAAGAATTAATTGATTCTTGGGAAATTGATGTTGGAAAAATATGGTTTGAAAAAGCAGAAAAACAATTTATGGGTATTTATAATTAATTAATTTTTATTTTTTTTTTGAATTATAAATATTTTGTTTAAAAAATATTCATAAATTATTTTGTTAAAATTTTCATTTATATAATTTATATATATATATAGAAAAAATTATTGAATTCTCTAAACAACAAAATTCTGAAGAATTATTATCTCAAAGTCAATTCAAACATTTACGTACATTTGCGGTAAATATTATAACGAAATTATCAGATTACCTGATAAATGACTGTTTAAGAGTAATAGAGGTAATTATTAATTAATTTATTTATGTAACTTTCTTTTGTTTGATAATTTCTACTTTTATTGATAATTTCCTTATTAAAAAAAAATGTTTAGAAATGTGTAAAAACTGAAGTTCCATTATTGCAAATTAATGGTAGCATTAAGAACCTTTTGAAAAAGTTTCAAATACAATTTCGATCATTTTGGTATTCTCTTATCACTTCTATGATCGTAAATATATATCTTTTGTTATTTTAATTGTTTTACTACAATTGCTATATTGATAAGTTATTGATTTATTTATTTATTTTTTTTTATCTAACTCTTAAAGAAATATGTTACTCCTAAAATACCGTTACCATTAAATCAACAACAAATTTTACCACCACCATCAATTGTTATCTTAATAATTTCTCGAATATTATTGGATTTTGGTGAATTTGTTGTCACACAAGTATATACAACATATTCCGAGAGGTTATATTCTCATTTTGAGAATAAAAACAACAACAATAATAATATCAATAACAGGAGAATTATTATAGAGCCAATAAATATTTATGGTGAAAAATTTTTTATTTCCAAGGAATTGGCCCAAGATGTTAGAGGAATTGTTGGATTTTGCAAGGATGTTTCCCAAGTAAGCATTTAACAATTTTTAGTTATAATAATTTTGATATAAGATTTTTGACTTTTAATTTTTTAAATTTTTTTAATTTTTATTTTTTTTAGAGAGTTTTAGAACGTTATTTGGAAGTTATAGGAAACAAATTATCAAAAAATATTCGAGATTTTTATGGTTATTCTAAAAATATGAAATTTAGTTCTGATGATGATGATAATAATAATAAGGTATCAGAAATATGGATTAAAACTATTAACGAATTGACATTTATTGAAAAAACGGTGATGGCTTTATATGGACCTCATGAAGAAATAATGGATGATATTGTCGAAAATTCTGGTAAATTCATTATAATTATTATTTTATGCTACCTTCGTATTATTTTACATTATTAATATTTTATATTATTATTATTAAATATCAAAGAAATACAACAAAATAATTCTCAATTATCATCATCCAGCTTGAATTTATTACAACCAGGAAGAGATGATCCACCACCAATTTCTTCTTCATATTCACATTCAAATTCATCATTTTCATCAATAAGCTCAAATCGTGCTAAAACTTCACCTAATCTATTTGCAAGTTCAGCAAATTTAATGTCAAATATTGATAAATTGTTTTCAGATAGGATTGAAATTTTTGGGATTGCGGAATTTAGCAAAGTTGGGATTATGTTGGGTATTATAAAGATTATGTTAAAGGTATTTATTCTGTTTATAATTGAATTTATTCATATATTTATTATTTAATTTTAATTTTCAATTTTTTTTTATTGTTGTTTTACTTTCTGATTATTTAATTATTTAATTAAAATTTTCTAGACATGGATTGAAATGATAAGAATTCAAACATTAACTCAAAAAACATTTCAACAAATACAAATTGATTCTGAATATATGAGAATTAAATTATGGAAATTTATTGAAGATGAAAGGTATAATTGAACTGTATTTATTTATAAAAATATTTTAAATATATATATATATATATATTAATTATGAATTGAATTGATTTTCAGGGTATTGAATACTATGTTACAAGAATTAGCATCAAGTGTATTTAAAAGATGTGCAGAGGATCCCGCTCCATTGGATAATGCGGTAATTTATGCAATGCATATCATCTTCATCTTTGCTATTTGGTTTGATTTATTTGTTTAATTTTTAATTTAATTAATTTAATTATTTAGGTAATTGAAAAAATTGTTGGAGGAATATAAATTTATTATTTTTTAAATTTTAGGAAAAAAAAATTTTAATATAATTTAGAATTTAGATTGCATTATTATTATATTTGTTTTTTTTAGTCGTATTTGCGGCTGATTGTTTTTTTTTTTTTAAAAAAAAAAAATATTTTCATATTTGTAGATATTATTTTTGTAATTTAATTTAATTTAATTTAATTAATTAATTTAATATAATTTAATTTTTTCCTTTTGTTTTAAAAATAATAAAATAATAATGATAATAATGATAATAATTATGATATTAACGATGATAATAATAATAATGCAGGTGATTCTTTATATATATATATTTTTTTGCAATTAAAAAAATATAATTATTGGAGTTAAACAATAATTACCAAAAAATAAATTCCTAAGAATACTAGGAATTCTTTGTTGGATCTTTTGATTTGGTATTGTTCATAACTCTTATCTTAGAAGGCGTCGTGTTAGTATTAGAAAGATTGGTCGTGGCAGTTTTAGCAGAAATTGACTTTATTTTTTTTGTAATACTTGTGTTACTACCAGCACTAGCCGGTCCAACTGGTTTCCAAGGTGGATTAATATAAGGTGGAGGTTGATATGAAGGCCTTCGGCGACCTTCTCCATCAAGTAATGTTGTTTGCATTTCTTCTGTAACTTCCCTTAAATTTAAAAAAACTGAATTATCTACTAAATCTTTCTTTTGACTTATTAATTGTAATCCTCCTAATGCTTTATTTAATAATGCTTCTCTTTTTTCTATTGTAATACATAATCGTTTATGTTCTTCGATTAAACTAGAAAATTGTTCTTCTAAATGTTTCACCCGTTGTCGTTCATTATCAATTGTTTTATTTTTTTCTTCTAATTGTTCTCGTAATTGTTCATTAAGCATTGCAAATGTATTTTCAGCTTTGGCGGTAATTGCTTTCGATTCTTTGGTTGCATCCATTGATGCCTTTTGAATAGAAATTAATTCTTGTAATTGGGTATTTCGCCGATTTTGAGCTTGTAATTGAGATTCAAGATCTTTGACATTTTCAATCAATATATCGGTCTTTTCTTTGGCTCCTTGTTTTTCTACTTTTAAAACTTCTTCCGCTACCTGTAATTTCCCTTTTATTTCATTATAATTAAATTCAAGTGTACTTATATGTTCTTCACTTTCTTTAAGTTTTATATCAAGTTCTTCAGCACGAACATTTCTTGTTTGAAGAGATTCACGTAATTCTTTTTGAGTACTAAGAACTTTGTTAACAGTGATTTCATGTTTATTAATTAACCTCACTTTGGCATCTATTTGACTTTCCAAATATTCATATTGCTCTTGCCATTGATCACTAATTGTTTTAGATTTTCGTTCAAATTCATCACGAATATTACTAATATATTCTAATATTTTTGTTAAACTTTCATTAAACATTTGAAAATTAGATGATGTGATTTTGGTAAAACATGAATTTCCTGTAACATCTGGCATTAAAGTATTCAAACTTCCATGAGTTGCTAATAACAAATTATTTCGTTCTTCAATTTGATCACTATATTGTGTTACGATTAAATGATTATGACTTTTTTCCCAATTTAAGTTTTTCTCAAGTTCGAAAACTTGAGATTTTAATTTATCAACAGTAACATTTTTATCTCTGTTTTCAGATTGCAAATTATGTATTGTTTCTTCGTTGGCAGATAATTTTTCATTCTGTTTAGTACACAAATTATTTAAATGTTTAATTTCATTTTCATATTTAAGAATTTGTGACTTTTTACTTTCAAATTCATCCCCAATCGCTTCAAGTTTTGAACGTAATTTTTCAGCTTCTAAACGGGTAGCATCCAAATCATTTCGAAGTCTTTCTTGTTCTCTATTATATCTATCTGCTGATTCTTTTGTACGATTAGTTTGATTACCAAGTTGTTGTTTAGAATATTGAAGGTCAGCATCCCTTTCTTTTATAGTTAAACAAAGTTCAGATATTTGTTGTTGGGCAGCTAACAATTTATCATCTAATTCATTTATTTTTTGACTAGTTTTTATTTCGATATCTTTCTTTTCATTTCTTAATTTTTCCAAATCTTTTTCATAATTTTTTTCCTTTTCTTCTGTAGCATTACGGAGTTCAACCTCATGATTCAAATTTTGATTAATTTCATTCATCTGTATCCTTAAATTTTCGACCTCTTGATGAAGAAGATTCATCTGTCTATCGGAATTCTCCATTTCCATATGATGAAGTGATTCATTATCATGACAAAGTTTATGTAACGTATTAATTTCTGTTATCAAGTCAACATTTTCCGTACGAATTAATGTTAAATCATCTTTTAAACATGCAGTTTCTTCCTTATATTCATCAACTTCCAAATTTTTTTCATTTAGTTGAAGTTTTAATTCTGCTACTTTATCTCTTAATTGACCAAGTTTTTCCTCATATTGATCACTAAATTCTTCACTAAATAATCCCCGTGATGAAGAAGCAGCACTTATGGGACGACTTCTCATCGCTTCAAGTTCGGAATGTAAATCATCATTCTCGGAAGTTTGGGTAGCAAGTTGTGATTTAAGAACAGAGATTTGAGTTCTTAATTGATTAATCTTGACTCGATTCTTTTCATTTTCTTCAGCAATATTTGAAGCGTCATTTGCATTTGTTCTCTTTAATGTTTCTTGTAAACGCTTAAATTCAGATAAAAGGTCAGCATATTTACTATGAAGAGCATTATTTTCTTGATGAAGTCGTTCAGCTTGAGCTATGGCTCTTTGATATTCGGATTCTTCTATTTCCGACATACCATGTTGTAAATCACATTTTGTCCGAGATTGTTCCATTGTTTCTACTACTTTTTCAAATTCCGTAATTGATTTTTTACTTTGAATTAATTCATTTTTTAAATTATAATTTTGATGTTTAAGATCCACATTTTCTTTATAAACATTTTCTGTTTCTTCTGGACCCATTTCATGTATACGCCTTTCTAAGAAATAAATTTTTAATTTTAAACTAAAGTTCTCTTTTTTTATTTCATCAATAACTCTTTCTTGTTCTTTAAAAGTCATTTGAGTTTTTCTAGCAGTACCCATACTCCAACGAGGACTTCTATTAACTTGTTTTGACTTTCCAATAGAATTAGCGGGAGAAAGGTTTTTTCCATTTGAGGAAGATTCTGCACCTGATTGAGATAACATTTGTGATATTTCAAAATCTAACTTATTTGTGTCGACTCCCCCTGCGGTGTCAACATTATCAGGAATATTATTTTCAAATGACATATTAGATTGTTCAACGTTTTCTTGTGAGAATGATGGTAATTCGTTGTTCAAGGAAATATCGAAAGTATCGTTTTCGAATTCACTAAATATCCCTCCACCACTATCAAATATTCCGTTTGTTGTTGAAAATATATTTTCTGACATTTTTATAATTAAAATAATGAAAATTAATGACTATTTATTCTATTTTTATTATTACAATTAAAGATTATATTAAGTATAAAAAAAAACAAGTCAAGTAACATGAATTTAAAATTTAATGATCTACACTGCATAGTACATTCCTTTGATTTTACGCATATTACTTTAAAATTTTTTTTTTTTTTTGATTTTTTACTTTTCAAAATGTCTCATTTCCAATCTTTTACACAAACTAATATGGACATTGTCAGAAATAACTATTATTCACCGAGTTCTTCGGATATACGCGCGTCGTTAGTAATTTTTAATTTTATTAATTAATTTTAATTAATTGAATTATTATATCTATTATTATTTCATATTTTTCTTTCTCATTTTTTTCAACTTATTCAATTTGTTAACAGTATTGGAAGAACAAAGAAAATAACTAAAGAAATCAAAGAGATCTACGATGATTATATTGTAAATAAAAATGATTCTGTTAAAAGAGAAGAACTTGAAATAAAATGGGATTCTCAACTAGAAAAGTTAAAAAATAGTCTTAAACATTTAAAAAGAATTCAAATTGATTTTGATTTCCCAGAAGAATTAATTAATTCAAGATTGTCGACATTTAGTAGTCAACAATTGTCAGCATTCACATCAAAATTTACATCATCAGGATCCACATCAGAATCCACATCAGAATCTACATCAGAATCAACTACCGCCATTACATTAGCATCTACAGCATCTACAGCATCTACATTAACACGTATTAATATTAAAAGTCGAGAGAGTAAACCGAATATAAATTCTTCGTCTTCAGAAAATATTACTATTATTAATTCAGTCAAAGATTCAAATGACAGAAATGTTATGACAAACAAGAAAAAGTCTGAAAAGTCTTTGTCAACTTTTTCGACGATCGGTAAAAATTTTCTATATTATGGTGATATTAAATGTTGATAATAACAATTAATAATAAATTATTCCTTTCATTATGTAGATAATTCATTTAAAAATAAAAACAAGATTATTAATAAGCAATCACCATTACACATTCAAACATCTAATAAAGACCAATCAAGAAGCAATCCAATTATTTGTTCATTTAAGAAATTTATAGATGTTGTACCTACTAAACGTAGTGGTGTTTATGAAGAAGGAACTTTGTTAAAGAGAGTTAAACATTCTTCATCCAATGATAGTGATGATAATAGAAATTTAGTTCATGAATCACGGCAGAAAGATAGGAAGAAGAATGTCGAAAGGGGAACCAAAATAAAAATTGATCCTGATTTTCTCACCGGAAATGGATCGTCATCATCATTTCCTTCCAAATTGCAACAAATTTCTAATAAACTAATACAGAGTGATGAGCAGAATGAACAGAATGAGCAAAATGAACAGAATGAACGAAATGAGCCTATTGACGTTTCCGTCAGATTTTCCTCGGCACAAGATATTCGAAAAGAAGTATTTTCAAATTCATATTTTATACAAACCAATTCCTATGAATCTGAAGTACAAAAGGTATGTTTATAATTTTATTTTATTACATAAAATTTTTATTTATAAACATTTTATTGGAAATTAGGTTTATGAACAATTTATGCATGAAAATGGTGAGTGTTTATTTAAAATATATGATAAATTATCATTCATTTAATTTTTAATAATCATTCAACTGTTTGTTTATAACTTTTAGGATTAGAAAAGGCATCATTACTAAAAAAGCAAAATGATATGATAAACAAAGCTAAAAGTTTAAATACTAGAAAGGTATTATAATTATTTTAATCCATTTTTTTTAAGATAATTGATATTTTTATTTATTATATTTAAATCTTGTTATTTATCTTTATTTATCCTTATTTTTAAGGATCTTCCTAAAAATTTAGATGAAGCAGCAAAATTAATGACTTATATGGCATCAAATGATATAGTTATGCAAGAAGATTTGGATGAATTGGATGATAATAGATTTACCATTGATACTAAACCTGTTGTTGGATTAACTTTAAATAAAGAGGTACCTCTAATCTCTAATATAAATAAAAATAAATAATTTGTAATATTTTGGTTAAATAAATAAAAAAAAAAATAATTACAATAAAAATAAATATCAAAATACATAATATTAGTCAATTCTAAAAATAGTTTTAAAGAATTTTGAAAATTACAAGTCATATAACTTCAAGTGTGGAAGTGGTGATGTTAATGAAACTGCAATGGATTACAGTGATCCCGTTAAGTATGCATCATTATAATAAATATTCTTTTCTTTTTTTTAAAAAAAATCGTATATATTATTATTATTATTATTATTTTGAATATAATAACTAATTTAATACTAATAATCAAAATAATAATTAATCAAAATTAGTCCTAGATTAGCAATGGCATATATTGCAAATGTGGATCCAAATTATAATATGACAGGAAATTTACAATTTCTTGACATGGCTTCAGGTATTAAATATAGTTGAATGCAATAAATATATTTTTTTTTCATTTTGATAAAATTTATAACAATTCATCTTTTATTTATATATCATTTAGGTGCTGCATACAATTTATATGGACATCATTCTCCAGATACAGTTACAAAAGAAGGTTATTTCATCCTATTTCACTTATATTTATTTGCACTTTGCATTTTTGTTATATGAAAATGTAAATCTAATTTGGATTTTCTAAATAATAATATTTTTATTTACATTTATTATATAGAACTTTGGACTACAGTAACTGATGTTAAATTCTCTCCTGATGGAAAATTTCTTTTTTCTGCATCTACTGATTCAACCATCAAAATTTGGAATTTGCAAGAATCAAAAAATTTTCAAAAGCCATATGATGCAAAAGGTATTTTTTTTTGATATATTAAGGAGAATTGCTAAATTTAGATATGTTTATTTATTTATTGAAATTCTTTCATTTAGTCTGTCAATCAAGTATTAATAGAATTGCAGTTTCCAATTATCCAAAAATTGGTACAACTTACCAATTTGCTTCTTGTGAAGAATCTGGGTATGTTTATTTTTATTTATTTGCATTATTATTTTTATTATTATTTAATATATTTATTTGATCTAATTAATTAAAATTTTATTATGATTTCTTGATAAAAGAATGGTTCAAGTTCATTCTATAAAGAGAGATCATAATCAATATAATTTATCCTCTCATGAATTTAAAGAAGAAAATTGTGAAAAGAGTGCAAATGATATATTATTTAATAGTATAGGTAATACTTTGATAGTTGGTTATAATGGATGTTCTGGTGATCCAAAAGGTGTGGTAAAAATATGGGACGTTAACAGTAGGAAAAAAGGGCCTGCTCACAGATGTCAATTTACTTGTAGCGTGAGTTGTATTGATATTTCAAAAAATGGTGAGATTTTATAAAAAATTTTCTTTATAATTATAATAATAGAATCATGAATAATATTTTAATAATATTTTAATATAGATAAATTGGTAGTTTGTGGGACTACTGGATTTGGAAATGAATTAGGTGATGGATCTATGTGGATTTGGGATATTCGTAGTCAATGTAGAACTCAAACAAAATGTGATGAAAAGGATGCAAATGTAATTGCAATTTCTCCAAATGATTTTTATATAGCTCTAGGAGGGACTTCAAATAATGTTTATGTTTTTGATACTCGACAATTGAACACAATACTTCGTGTTTTACGTCACGAAGGTAATCACATTTCATCTATTTGTTCTACGGTTAAAAATTTAAAATTACATGTTCTCACGTTTTTATTTTTTTTCTATTTAATTTATCTTATTATCCTTGTTTTATTATGGATTTATTATAATTGAATAACTACAAATATTTAAAGAACCAAATGATGGATTACCACATGACGGCATAATGTCATTGCAGTGGATTCCTGACAGTAATATCTTATTGAGTGGAGGAAATGATAATTATGTGAAAATATGGAATATTGGTGATTTTGAAAATAAATTGATTTATCAGTTTACAAATCATGATAGTCCTGTTACATCTATCAGAATATCTCCTGGTATGTATGAATTATATTATGAATTATAATTATTAAAATTATTTAATAATTTTTTATATTCTAAACTTTTATTTTAACAAGATTTCAAGTTAATGACTGTTGGAGTTTCAACTGGTAAAATGTATGTTTATAGCACAAATCAAAACCTCATTGATGCTGGTAACAAACTTAAATATTTGTAGAATAATTTATATTATATTCATATTCATTTGTAATATTAACATAAAATATTAAATTGTAACTATTATTAAATATATTTAAAATTTGTATTCTAGATTATTTATAATAAATTTAAAATTTGTATTCTAGATTATTTATAATAAATTTAAAATTTGTATTCTAGATTATTTATAATAAAGATTGCATTATCATCATCTTTTTTTAATTTTTTGTTTGTGCAATTCAGTTTTTTGGTTTTTTTAATCTTTGTAAACCAAATTTTAATATAAATAAATTCCTGAAATTCAATAAGTATTTATACTCTATCAAAGGAAGATAGTAAAGATTGGAATGAATTATTAGAATGAATCTGAATGAATCTGAAGAAATCAAAAGGTATAAACCAAATTATTACGCATGAGCAAATATTTTTGATAACTCAAATCAAATCCATTTAAACTATATGACAAAACCTCTCAACTTCCATAAACTAAGAGCCAATTGTTTTGTATTCTTATCTGTTAATAATCCTAACATTGGATTCTCATAATAATTAAGCTTCAAAAATCCTTTTAATCTTGCTATTCCTCTCTTACCCCAAATACTATATATATCATAAAATGGAACAAATTGTGTTTCATATCTTATAAAATTATCTTTTTCATCCAAGACACGATATGTCACTGGATGTATTGCACCAAATGGTTTTGAAGGAATTTTTATTTCTTCAGATTCTGAATCTAATGATTCATTTTTCCAATCTTTACTATCTTCCATCGATATATCTGGATTAAGTATAAATACACATTGTATTCCGGGAATATTCTTTATATTGTTTATATAAAATCTTTTTATTTTTTCTTCTTCTTCTTCACCTTCCTCTGAATTACCCTTATTAATATCTTCTCCTATAAAACGTAATGAAATAAGATCATCCTGGGTTGACTGATCAGTTTTTGAAATAAAGTGTTCTTGTGGTAAAACTTGCAATAAAACTCTATCTCTTCTAGCAGGAAATCTTCGACTTGGCAATATACTAAAAAATCTTGTTAACCTTGTGGTTGCCCTTTCCCTTAATATTCTCCAAATATGTTCATTCATATCAGGCCTCCAAAATGCAACATTGTCTATATATTTGTATTTTCCTAATTTTATGAATATATGAAATTCATATAAAATAATTGGAATAAAATTTATAAGATAATCATAATAAAAAATTTTTACATAATTTACCTTCTTTTGTGGTTAATGTTATTACTTCTGAATTAGCTTTTAACCATCTTCCTTTACCAGGTCTCTTTACACCTCCAGTTTCAACAAAATCCGGTACAATCCATGTTGAATTTGTTATTTGATCATTTGCTTTTATAAATCTAACCATGAAATCTAGTAAAATAAAGTTGAAAATATTATATATTTTTATATTTAATATTATTATTATTATGAGATCAAATTTACACGCACCATTGGGAAACCAACGATCATGATAGAAGCATCTACGTATTGGCGATCCAATTATTGCCGCTAATTATAAATTAAAATTTAAAATTATATATTAAAATGTAATCAATAATTTATTGAATCTGTTTGGTTAACATCAAATTTTTTTTTTTTTTAAAAAAAAAAAAAAAAAAGCTACCATAGGGATTCATAGCAACCCTTTGTTCAAATTCTGATAAAAATTTAAAATCCCAAGACTCTGGTGGTGGTTCTCTTTTTTGTCTTGGTAAATCACTAAAAGGACCATTTGGGTCAAGTAATATTGAATCTTCACAATCAAATGACTCATCATCAATAATAGTTTTTGGGATAAATGACGAAAAATCTTCATTATCAGAAATTTCTATTTGATTTTTTTCTTTTTGAGGATGAGGATGAGGATGAGGAGGATTCTTTTTTTCTTTTTTTGAATTAGAATCAACGGAAGAATAATTAATTTTATTATTTATGTATGAGAGATGTGTTTTATTTTTATTACCCCAATTTTTCAGTAAATCTTTTTTCTGAAAAAATTTGGATTTTTGTAGATTAGATCGAGAAAACTTATTCATATTGTTTTCAGGTCAGGATCAAAATTTTTTTGTAGATCTGATCATAGATCTTTTTTACTCCTATTTAATTTCTTTACTCTGTTGAAAGTTCTCATTATTCTTTTTTTGAATATATATGTACTTTCATTAATATGAGCAAAATAATCTTTTTTCATCCATCTAGTGAACTTCTAATGAGAATCGATATTTTCTATGTTTCACGTTTGTTCCTTATTATTTTGAAAAATTATTTCTTGAGGAAAATATTTGAATAGTTTCTTTCCAATTATTTCTTTGGGCTGATTTTACTTATTGGGCTACTTTATTATATTATAAGATAATTTTCTTTTTTAAAATTGAAGCTATAAATTTAAATAAATGCATCAATATATATGATATAGATAAATAGGTATAAAAAATTTGCCATTTGATCTATTTGTACAATTAAATCGCAACAAATGTTAAGATGTTAAAAAAACAAACAGGGCTTTTTAAATATAGATTTATTTTTATATTTGAAATAAAATTTCTTCTGTTTTTATTGAAAGTAATTGTACATGTACATTTTACTGTGAACTAGAGAGAGAAGTTAAACTTGATTTAAAATACTAAGAATTTCATCAAAACAAATAATAATATGAATCAATGTCTCTAAATTTCTTGGTATAATTCATTAAATCAAAGTTTGATTAACAAGAAGAATGCCTTCTAATATTAAATCTGACTATTTTGAAGTTTCTCTCTACAAAGAGGACATTAATTCATAAAAGAACATTAAAATAAAAAAAATATAATAAGATAATAGAAGTATTTACATTCTTCATTAGCATTATTTAATTAAGGTTCATTACAATAATTCATATAATATAAATTATACTATCTGCTATTAATTAAATTAAATTTATCTAATTAAAAAATTTTGATGCCCAGCTCAGTATGTTGAAAACCTTTTCATTTAATTATATCTTTTAGAGATATCTAACTTTATTATATGTTCAGGGTCAATTAAGACTTTTAGTAATAGGACTAATTTCTTTGTAAAAAAAGTATTTCACAATGTGCTTCACTTCAAAGAGTTAATTTCCTCGGTTTAAATTCTTTATATATATAATTTAGTCAATTATACATTATGTGCGCCTCGTATTGGTTAAATGTATAACTGATAATTCCTTTATCAAAATTTCTTTGAATGTCTCTTTATTTATTTATTTATTTTTTAACTTTTATGACAAATAATTGCGAACAAGTAAACAATATTTTAATAAAAAATAATTTATTGAATATGATGTACTCTCGATTTTTTTTTTTTGCAAATATCTATATTTTATTATTAACGGTTTAAACTATATCTCTATGTTGTATGCATTTTTTTTATTTTAATTATACATTATTCAATTTTTTTTAAAGAACTAAACTAAATTAAAAAATATTTATATATCATTCAGTAGTTGTGTCATTAATGGTATGGTTGAGCGAATGAAGCATCATGACAATTATTTCAAGCATTTCTAATTCTTCAAAAAATTAATAAATTTAACTTTGAAACATCTATGTCGATTAATAAATTCTAAAATTAAATAAAATAAATAAAAAGGAATAAGAAAATCCTTTATAGTTCAATAATTATAATTATATATATAAGTGAATTATATTTAAATATAATAATATTATTATGTTTTATACAGTATCTTGACGAAGATTTTCGTTGCAAATTTTTTTTTTTGTAAATATAAAAATAAATAATTTTGGCTTTAATTTTTTTCAAAATCCAATAACCTACTATAATATTTTGCCTGTTTGTGGATTTTATTGCTTTTCTGACCTTTTTCTTTAATCATTAATACCCTAATCTTTTCTGCCTTATTAAATAATTCTGGATCTGTGACACGAGGTCTTCTCCAATTTCCAATTATCTTTACAATCTCATCTATATCGGGTCTTTTTGCTGGTATTGGATCCCAACATCTTTCCATTAAATTTGAGTAAAATTGTGGACAATCTTTTGTGATCTCTGGTCTCATTCCACTACAAATTTTTTCAACTAATTTTTGGTCATGAGGAACTGATTGAAAAGCTAATTTTCCAGACATCAATTCCCACATTACAATAGCAAAACTGTAGATTTCTGAAGGTCGAGAACACTCACCACCTTGTAAAACTTCAGGAGCAATATAAGGTATAATACCATATTGTTTTTTTTGATTAGGTGATGAGAATTTTGTAGCTGGAATTGAAGTGCCTAGATCTGATACTAATACGTCATGTTTGAATGTCGAAATCATTTCATTTTGTTCATATTGCATTATCATGCCAGGAATATTAGGATCAATATCAATTAACACATTGCCACTGTGAAAATTATGATGAACAAATCCATGAATATGAATTGACTTTATACTTTTCGCCATATCAAATAAGATGGCAACTTTACGCCACCAATCCATATGTATAAAATTTTTATGAATGTGTTGTCGTAAATCACCGCCAGAAGTGTATTGAGTTACTAATATAAAATCATTTGTTTCTTTATCACGTGATATCCCATAAAGCTGAGGAATTCTTCCCGAATTCATGCAACGATAATATGTTTGTAACTATTAAGGTTATATATAACATATCAGTTTTTTGAAATTTTGAATAAAAGAGAAAAATATTAAAGCTACGATGCAAACCTCGCGAACAAAATCAGGACCAGAGATATCTTGAGAATTTATTAATTGTTTTAAAGCTACGTATTGGGGTGTAGTTCCAGTATATCGTTCATCAGGTATGATAATATGTCCTTGGGTAATCTTTACAACAAAAATATATAATATAATATTTTTAAAATTATCAAAAATTTTATGTAAAAATAATAATAACAATAAAAATTTTATACCTCATTATCAAATCTAGCGACAACTCTATCACACCAACTTTCCAAACTATGTTTAGACTTTGAATGTCCAAATTTTTTCGTTATCTTTTTAAAACTTTTGTATTTTTTCAAATCACCATGACCTAAATTTTTTTTCACACTAATCCCATTTTGCTTAATATTGTCTGATGCTTCCTCATAGATAATCTTATAAAGCGCTTCGGCATTTTGCTTTTCCATCTCTTTAGTCCACCATTTAAGTGTTCCAAATAAAATATTTTGATTCCATGTTGCACGATACACATTGCTAAATCCTCCTTGGCCTATTAATGAAATATTTGAATATTCAACAGATGGAATAAATCGTAATAATGGTTGTGGACCTTCAAATTCGCCATTAATATTCGTAGGAGATCTGAAACAAGTTAATTGAGTTTTACGAATGAATTCATCTACTTGATCATTTCCGGAACTCCAAGTATGGAATTTTTGTTGAAATAATAGAGTTTCACATGAATTGCACCATTGATTATATTCATTAGGGAAGATATTTTTGCATCGAGTACATGCGTTAACGGAAGGTAACAAAGGGAGAGTTATTGGCAATGGTTTTGAATTAGATGAACTTGTTGATAATGTAGTTATTGTTCTAATGAAAAATTGAGTTATGAAATCTTTTATGTCTTGAGAACATCCAAGATAAGGATATTTCGAATTATTTTTGGAATGATGTTTGGTTTTTATTGATACTGAAAATAAAGAAAAGAGATAATTTTTACAGTTAAATTTATTTCATTATTTATTACAACTTTAAATCATTGATGCATATGAAATAAACATAAGTTATATATATATATATACCTCTGCGCCCTTTTTGGGTATGAATGAATTTCTTTGATTCGGATTTTGTTTTTAATGCGTGCATTCTAATATGATTATTTATTACAAGATATATTTTTCAAGAAAGAAATCAAATTTAAATCTCGTTTTTCATCCATATTGGAAATAATCCCTTTTTATTTAAATTTTTAAAACTATGAATATGCGAAATGTAAGCCATCTTCTATAAATAACAATATTCCAAATGAAAATTCTAACCGCACGCCATCACCCTATAAATAAACCCACGGGATAGAATGAACTTGGGATAAAATTTTCCTTATTTATCATGAATAGTCAGTAATGATATATTTTGGTCTGGTGACTATAATAACGAAAAAAAGGGATAATATGGTTTGGTCGAACAAAAAAACGGCATTCATGCACATGATGTTTCAAAACTTCCTATCATAATTAATCTTCATTATATTACCCAAAAAGAATTTTTATTTCTAAAAAATTAATTGTAAATGCTTATCATGTTTCATTTATTTATAATAGATTATATTGTTTCAACAAATTATTAGCACACAAAAAGATATACATTCTCATCATGAGGAATCGATCGGTTTTTTAATAATAATATTTTTTAATAATAAATGAATTATAATATTACATAATACGTATTACATTTTATTTAAGTTTAATAAAACTATGATGTATTGCACAACAATAAATTCATTTCAGAAGGTACTATACATAAAAATAAACTGATAAAAATAATCTATTGACCCTTATGCATTTTAATTCTAGGTTTATTTTTATCGATATTTTTCATATGATTAAAATTACTGTGCAACAATGCGAATATGTATTGATTAGATTATCATCAATTATCTATATCTATAATGATGTCAGAACAAAAAACGTGATAATAATGCAAGAAATGATTATGATAGTGGGTGGGATGAAGAAATTGGCTTAATAAAGAAAACTCTATTTTGAACAAATAATTGATAACCCTTTGGAAAAAATGATGCACATTTAAAAAACATGGCCTTATCTTACTGGAAAAACAAAAAAAAAATCAACATTTTATAATAAATATAAACTTAGTGGCACATTTACAAAGACAGCAAAAGGAACAAACCAACTTTTATGAGTACATCAATAAATGTATTTTTTATCCTAGGTTCCATTATGAACTTGATTTATTGAATGATATTGGAGTGCTGTAAAAAGATATACTTGAGAAATTTGTAATTATTCATGATCTGGTTTGTAACATATTGTTCCCGAAAGTATAGCACAATTATGATTAGAAAGTTTACAAGAATGGAGATGGTGTTGTTAACAGTCCGACTTGTTCCAACTCAGAGTTATGGACGTATTGACATGAACTACAAGTTAAACTGATGGGATCATCACTATCAACTTTATCGACTTTCCATCAACTCAAAAGCCAAGTTAAACTGGTTGCAATTCTACAATATTTTTTTGTTATTTAATATTTTATGACAATATTGATCAGTGATTTAATATTTTTTTTAATTTATTTATCTTATATACTTGCAAAATAATTCTCAATGATCAACTGGTGGATAATTTTACCAGGTGTGCGATTTCTTCATAATTAATTGCTGGATTTTTTTACATTTACACCATAGATATAACATCAGTTGTATCAGTTCTTTTCATTCACAATGAAGACCCATTAAAAAAATAATTTTGAAAGAATTTGTTAATGCGTACATATAGGCGCATTTGATTCATCAATTAATAATCAAATTTCAAAACTTTATTATAAAGCAACATGTTTATTAATGTATTATTTCTATTAATTAAAGTTGTTCTTTAATATCAAAACTAAATGAAAACGTAAAAAACATGATAAAACAACTTTATTGTGCAAAAGAATATGAAATAAAATGAGTTGAGCAAGTTGGGTTTGAACGATTGATTAGGTGTCGGAACGATGGGTTAGACGGTTGTATAGTCGGAACGTTTTTTGGGTTTAAAGCTTCTATTTACATAATATCCTATAGGTAGGTTTGTTAATGGGTTCATTTTATAGTGGAGCAAGGTTAAATGTATCGGGTTGGGTTACTCCGAGTTACTCCGGGTTTCTCCGGGTTGCTCCATGAAATAATTAATGATACCTGATAAAAAATATATAAAATCGGAAATAATTGCCAATGGTTACTAAATATAAAACTTTTTGTTTTAATAAGTGAATGTCAAAAATGGTACTAAGTAATCTTAAATACAAGAATGAATTGCGTATTATATTTAAAGGACAGACCTTTATCATTAAAATTAAGAGGTTAAATTCGAACGGACAAAAAAAAAAATATTAAAACGATAGTTTTTTGCTTAATTTTGACTATATAGGTCTACCCTGATACATAATTCATTCTTATATTTGAGGTTACTTAGTATCGTTTGTGATATTCACTTATAATATAAAAAGTTTAGTATGTAGAAACGATCGACGATTTTGTATATAATCATGTTAAAATTTATAATAGAATACAGATCTTTTTTCAAATTAGTATGTAATGTGATATGTGTTTTCGGGTTTTAAGTAGTTTTTTTAATAGTAAATTTGTGTTCGTTGTGTTCAAAACATTTGCCCATTATATTCTTTTTTGGCAAGACTCTTATCGAAAAAGGAAAAACATTGGGTCTGTTTTTAAAATAATCTTTAATCTTTAATCATAATCGTAATCGTAATGGTAGTGGTAATGGTAGTGGTAATGGTAATGGTGACAGAAATCAATACTCATCACCATTACCACTACCATTACGATTACGATTATGATTAAAGACCGTCCACTCTCCTCCCTAAGAACAAATAAAAAAATAAAAGAGGATCATGTGTTTGAATTTTTTATTTGTTTATTGTTTGTCCAGCCAATTTTTGGCTCTTTTATCCGTAAGCTATATGAGCCATATGATTTATCGGATATAGGAATTAATGAGAACGATGAACGGAAAAATGGATTTGAAAATAAATAATAATTAATTCTTTTTTTTTTATTGATAAAAAAATTAATTTTTTTTATTTATTTATTTTGAATTCAATTCTTGGCTCCTTTATCTGTAAGCCATATGAACTGAAAAATGGATTCGAAAATGAATAAACAAAAAAAAATAATTAATTCTTTTTTTTTTATTGATAAAAAAAATTAATTTTTTTCAAACTCAATTTTTGGCTTCTTTATCCATAACAAATTTTTAATTTCAAGAGCATAAGATTCAATAGATTCTGAATTATGAGATACTTATGATTCTGGACAAAGTTTCAAATCAAAAAACAAATTATACCTTCTTCTATCTGTTTACAACCTGGTGCACATGTTATATACCTCAACAATTCTTTAATAGAACATGGTATTTGTAATAGAACAATGGGAATTATTACAGATATTAATCTTATAGATCAATATTAATTTTCTTCAAAATTTCATGACTTGTAGTATTAATGATCACTCTAGAAGTAGTAACAAATTTTATAAGCCCAAAGAGCAAAACAACAGTATTATCTGAAGGAGAGAGGTTGAATTTTTGATAACTCAAAAAAAAACAATGATTTCAACTAATACCATTACAGAATGCATATTATCAAAATTTTTTAATCCTTGATAATTTATAAATGTTATTCAAGATGCTACAGAGCATCATACACAAATAATCTTTGGAGCTTCAAAACTTCTCCAAAAATGTATCAAAAAATTTATGCTACAAATTTATTGTATTGTATAATCTAATCCATATCAAATAATATTAGAGATAACATTTATAACCTATTAGATATGATAGCTTAACATGACTTCTATAAAATAAGTTTAAAAATATTGTTATATTGTTATCTTATAATATTACTGTATACTAATTTTTTATTTGTTAGATATTTTCTGAATTTTGCTCTTTCTCAACACATTTAATTAATTGCCAAAATCATATTAAAAATTAATTTACCACCAAAATTTAGAATGTTTTCACTAAACAATATTCCAGGTATAGAAAAAATTTTTTAAATTTGGTTCTTTAGAATTTTACAAAATTGCAAATATAATTTGAATTTATATAATAGGACAAGAAATTATATACTTTTGATCTGGTTTTCTGACTTTCTTTTGAAACAATATGCATATTAATACCAAAGTTTCTTAACATCTGCCCAGTCTCCAATAGTATCTGGTGTTGACAAAATAACATTTGAAGACATGAATTCTGGAATAAGTTGTTAAACAATAAATATAGTAATTAATTTAAATTTAGATTATACTTTATATAGAGACTAATGTATTTGGTAAGTATCTCTTTGCACAAAAGAATTAAGTTATGTGATGAAGTTGATAATTAAAGTATTATAGTAGGAAAATGGTTCATTGAGATTTACACAAGACAAGTATAATAAAGATAATTCATAAAATGGGCAAAAATTATTTGAAGAAGATTTGTAAATAGAAATACACTAGTCAAATACAAAAGAATCACTGTACCAAATGGTAATTCCTATATTATAGATTAGCTAAAAATCAGAGAAAATTAACTAAAATCAAAATTCCTTTTCAGTACAACAATTCTTTTGTGATATTACTAGATACAGTATTTGTGTCTAATATGTGTGAAAATATTATATGTTACATATTAGATATCTAATAGATTAAAAATTATTTCTTTTTTTGAAAGTGAACTCTTTCTGTCAATTACTTGTACCAAATATTCCCACAGTAGAGAAATACGATTTTTCACTGTAGTTACATATAAAACTTAGTTATTTTTCTA